GTTACCCCAAGATACTTTATGCTATTTGTGGCTATCATGAAAGGTGATGCTTCTCTGATTTCCCTCTCTGTATCTTTGTTCTTTGTGTATAGGAGGGCTACTGATTTTTTGGAGTCGATATTGTATCCTGCCATATTAGTAAAGGTGTTTATCAGCTGTAGGAGTTCTTTGGTAGAGTTTTTGGGGTCACTTATGTAAACTATCATATCATCTGAAAATAATGAAAGTTTGACTTCTTCCTTTCCAATTTGAATCCCCTTGATCTCTTTATGCTGTCTTATTGCTATCGCTAGAACTTCAAGCATTATATTGAAGAGGTATAGAGATAGTGGACAATCTTGTCTTGTTCCTGATTTTAGTGGAATGGCTTTGAGTTTCTCTCCATTTAATTTAATGTGAGCTGTCGGCTTGCTGTATATTGTTTTTTTTTAAAATTATATTTAGGAATGAACCTTGTATCTGTAATATCTCCAGGACCTTTATCATAAAGGGGTGTTTAATTTTGTCAAATGCTTTTTCAGCATCTAATGAAATGATCATATGGTTTCTTCCTTCAGTTTATTTATATGATGGATTGCGTTAATAGATTTTCACATGTTGAACCAGCCCTGTATCTCTGGGATGAAGCCTACTTGATTGTAGTGGATAATTTTTTGGATGTTTTCTTGGATTCAGTTTGCCAGTATTTTATTGAGAATTTTTGCATCGATGTTTATGAGTGAGATTGGTCTGTAATTCTCTTTCTTGGTTAAGTCTTTGTGTGGTTTTGGTATCAGGGTGACTGTAGCTTCAAAAAGGAGTTAGGCAATGAGTCTTCTGTTTCTATTTTGTGAAACACATTAAGGAGTATAGGTATTAACTCCTCTTGGAAGTTCTGCTAGAATTCTGCATTGAAACCATCTGGTCCAGGGCTTTTTTTTTTGGTAGGGAGGTTTCTGATGACAGCTTCTATTTCCTCGCACTTACAGGTCTATTTAAACTGCTCACCTGGTCTTGACTTAATTTTGGTTTGTGATATTTATCTTAAAATGTATCCATTTCTTTCATATTTTCCAATTTTGTGGCATACAGGCTTTTGTAGTAAGATCTAATGATTCCTTGAATTTCCTCTGTGTCTGTGGAACCAGCTTTTTGTTTCATTGATTCTTTGGATTGTTTTCTGTGTTTCAATTTTGTTGATTTCAGCCCTCAGTTTGATTATTTCCAGTCGTCTACTCTTCCTGGGTGAGTCTGCTTCTTTTTTTTTTCTAGAGCTTTCAGGTGTGCTGTTAAGTCTCTAATGTGTGCTTTCTCTGTTTTCTTTATGTGGACACTTAGTGCTATGAACTTTCCTCTTAGTACTGCTTTCATAGTGTCCCATAGGTTTGGGTATGTTGTGTCTTTATTTTTGTTTAATTTAAGGAAGACTTTAATTTCTTCCTTGACCCCAGGGATGGTTCAGTAGTTGACTGTTCAGCTTCCATGAGTTTGTAGGCTTTCTGGGGTTAGAATTGTTGTTGAATTCTAACTTTATTCGATGGTGATCCGATAGTACACAGGTGGTTACTACAATTTCTTTGTATCTACGGATGTTTGCTTTGTTACCAATTATGTGATCAATTTTTGCCATGAAATGCTGAGAAGAAGGTATATTCTTTTCCGTTTGGGTGGAATGTTCTATAGATGTCTGTTAGGTCCATTTGGTTCATTACATCTATTAGTTCTCTTATTTCTCTGTTAAGTTTCTGTCTGGTTGACCTGTCCATTGGTGAGAGAGGAGTGTTGAAATCACCCACTATCAGAATGTGGGGTTTGATATATGCTTTGAGTTCTAGTAATATTTCTTTTACATATGTTGGTGCTTTTATATAAGAGGTGTAGATATTCAGGATTGAGGCTTCCTCCTGATAAAGTATTCCTGTTATGAATATAAAGTGTCCATTTCCATCTCTTCTGATTGATTTTAGTTTGAAATAATTTTGTTAGATATTAGTATAGCCACACCCGCTTGTTTCTTTGGTGCATTTGATTGAAAAACCTTTTCCCAACCCTTTACTCTGAGGTAGTGTCTGTCTTTGAGTTTGAGGTGTGTTTCTTGTAAGCAGCAGAATGTTGGATCCTGATTTCGTATCCATTCTCTTAACCTGTGCCTTTTAATAGGTTAATTGAGTCCATTGATATTAAGTGATATTAATGACCCTTGGTTGTTAACTTCGGTTATTTTTTCTGGTGGTAGTGTTTGTGTGTTTCCCTTCTTCGAGTTGTGCTGGTGGAGGGTTGTCAGATGCTTGTGTTATTATGGGTGTTGTTTACTTCCTTGGTTTGTCATTTTCCTTCTAGTATTTTCTGTAAGGCTGGGTTTGTGGCTACGTATTGTTTAAATCTGTTTTTGTCCTGGAATATCTTGTTTTCTCAATCGATGGTGAATGCAAGCTTTACTGGGTACAGTAGTCTGGTCTTGCATCCTTGGTCTCTTAGTTTCTGCTGCACATCTATCCAAGACTTTCTGGCTTCCATGGTTTCCATTGAGAAGTCAGGTGTAATTCTGATAGGTTTCCCTTTATATGTTACTTGACCTTTTCCCCTTGCAGCTCTTAATATTTGTTCTTTATTCTGTATGCTTTGTGTTTTGATTATTATATGGTGAGGGGATGCTTTTTTTTTGATCCAGTCTACTTGGTGTTCTGTCTGCTTCTTGTACCTTCATAGGAATATCCTTCTTTAGGCTGGGAACGTTTTCTTCTATAATTTTGTTGAATATATTTTCTGGGCCTTTGAGTTGTAACTCTTCTCCTTCTTCTACCCCTATTATTCTTAGATTTGGTCTTTTCAGGGTGTCCCAGATTTCCTGGATGTTTTGTGTTAAGAATTTGTTGGATTTGTTTTGTTCTTTAATCAGTGCATTCATTTCCTCTATAGTATCATCAGTGTCTGAGATTCTTTCTTCTTTCTCTTGTATTCTGTTGAGCAGGGAAGTGTGGAACAGAGAAGCCCCTGCAGCAGGAGCTAAAGGGGTCCAGTGCTCTTTCCCAGATATTCCGCCCTGTCCCGGGATGGCATCCACTCACCGGTCTGAAAGGTTGTCCTCAGGACAGAGACAGGACTCTTGGAGATCAAAGGACTCCACAGACAAAAAGGCGAACTTGAGGGGGAGGGGAGAGTTGTACCTGTCAGTCATTTTCTTCTGTGTCCTGCAGAATGTCTGTCAGTCTCTTTCATGAGGCAGGAACTTGAAAGGACAGTCTCACCTTTAGGGCAAGTTCAGCAGTCATTTCTCTGTGGGTCCTGCATGTCCAGTGAAGCAATTCAGGTAAGAGCAGTTTCTTGCCCATGGCTAGCAAACACCATAAGGAACCTCTTCAATGCCCATCTTCCTCTTGAAGTAGCTTGGTGCTGCCAAGGACAGATGTGTCTCATTGTCATGAAAAATCTTAAGTTTTAAACATTTTAAATGCCATATTCTGAAGGTCTGTGAAAGATTTGAAGAATGCATATCTAACTGAAATATATTTTTATACATCTAGTAAATCTAACATGTCTACAAGCTTGACTATTATAGATGATTATCTATCAACATATATTTCTTAATTATACATTACATTTTTAAATGAACTACTCAGTCACAACACCTTCATCAAGGGCAAAATATACATACACCATATAATAAAATTTACCTTAAGTTTGAATTGATAAATCAAGATCCATACCAAGGCAAATTATTCATATCTATATCATATTGCCCTTTAAATATAAAGAAATATTTAAAAACAATATTTGGGAATATGGGCATAGTTTCTCCAAACTCCTTCCTGCAGTTTGTGGATGCTGTTAATTAGGTCTTTCATGGTGTATTCTGGGAGCTAGGTTCATCTCAGTCAGCAGTTGGGTGAAGTAATTTTTTGAGGGTGTTCACAGCCACCTTTCAGGGGGTTGTGCTCTATCCAACCACACCAGTCTGGAAGCAATCTTCAGGTTCTCATCCTCTGTGGAAATAAGAGAAGAACCTTTTCCAGAGGTTATATCATTAGACCCAAATTTGGAAGCCATGATACCTTTATAATATACATGCTGGTTTTGCTTAGCAGCCCATACAGTGGAATTTCTGTCTGTATTTTGCTCCTTTACAGGCAAAAAATTAAAAGAAAACACAATAATATACATAATCCAGACTTCATGAATTTTCCATCTATACATGGATTATTCTTCTTTACTCCTTTTAATCTATGACTATCTGTACTGTGTCTCTTTAAAGACTTTGCCCCTTTTTAATCCCAGCACTCAGGAGGCAGAGGCAGGTTGATCTCTGAGTTCGAGCCCAGCCTGGTCTACAATAGCTCGTTCCAGTACAGGCGCCAAAGAAACACATAGACAGAAGAACCTCCCACACCAATCCTCAATCATGTCACAAGGACATGTGTTCAACTATGTTCATAGCAGCATTGTTTGTCATAGCCAGATCCTGGAAACAACCTAAATGCCCATTGACTGAAGAATGGATAAGGAAAATGTGGTATATTTACACAATGGAGTATTACACCGCAGAAAATATAATGACATTTTGAAATTTGCAGGAAAATGGATGGAGCTAGAAAACATCATATTGAGTGTGGTAACCCAGACCCAGAAAGACAATTATATGTACTCATATGTATCAAATGATATCATATGTATCAAACCACATAAGTGGTTTTTAAACATAAAACAAATAAAACCAGTCTATAAATAAAAATCCCAGAGAACATAGACAACAATGAGGACCCTAGGAGAGACATACATGGATCTAATCTACATGGGAAGTAGTAAAGGACAAGATCTCCTGAGTAAAGGGAGCATGGGGATCTTGGGAGAGGGTTAAAAGTGAGGGAAGAGGCAGGGATGGGAGCAGAGAAAAATGTACAGCTCAATAAAAGAAAATAAACTTAAATTAAAAAACAACAAAAATAAAAATGCACCAAAGATTAAAAAAAATAAAGCCAGTACAGGAAGTATATAGAGGAAGTGTTGCCTAGCCCTGAGCTTTGGTGTAAAATTGAAGAGTCAGTGGCAAGTCTTGAGAAAGAGCACATCCTCTTTCTGTTTTGTACTGGGCGTCCTCATCCTGACAGGCATTACTGGCTACAGTCTTTGCTATCCCACAGTGAGGAAGGTGTCACCAGTTCTGTGTGCTGTTTCTGTGAAGATATGACATGAGACACTGCCATGGTCCTTGGAGCTGCTCTTCCTGGACTTGGTAAGTGTGACAGGGGTCATTCTTTTTACCTATTGTGGTAGTGAATACAGAGTCCCAGTTATATAACCTGGGCTCCTCTCATAGAACTCTTCCTCTGTGAAGACCTGGTCTGGCGGCTGCAGAGGAGTCTTCCTTGAGTTCAGCCTGTCCATTGGGACCTGGTCTTTTGAACTGAGCTCTGGGTCAGTTTATAACAGGACAGATTTCCCTTATCAGTCCTTTTCTCTATTTTCAGTGTTTTTAATGTTGCAGAGGATCTGGGCACAGTATGGTAAGTCTGTTCCCTCTTTTATCCCTGGAGAACTAGGTTGGCTGGGAGTAGCATGGGAGGAGCTTGAAGCATCTTGTGCAGATCCTGAGTTGGGATTTTTCACTGGCAGCCACTGGCACACTTACTTAATGATCAGAACTCACTACTGTAGCCATCTCTGGGGTGAGGATTCTCAACTGTGTTCCAGTAATGCCTGCATGATACGTGTCTCAGAAGGATATTGAATAAATGGCACAGAGGAGGGGGCACCTGCACACATTTTTCCTCCTGAGGATATAGATATTTGATTTTGAATCTGTTTTCCTTTTCCTCCTGTCTCTTCCCTCTTTGGCTTTGCCTTGTTCGCTTACTGATTCTGCCCTTGCTAAGGCACATCATCCATGAGACAGGGTTGAATAAAATACTGTCTAGTGTGTGTCACATAGATGGGATTCATTTATTTTCAGAGGCTCCCTGGCTTTGTGTGACTTTGGAGGTGGGAATAGTGTTTGGGTTTTTTATGGACACAAGAGACAAAGTCAGACATAAGTCAGTGATTTAAATAGATTTCCTGTTGAATAACCCTGAGAAATGGGATGATTTGGTGATAAGAATGGCAGCTCACAGGGTTCATTCCTGAGCTGATAGGACACAAGCAGAGAAGCCACTGATAGCGTTAAGGTATGAGGGTTATTCTGGCGTTGTCTGGGAACAGTAAAGACGATTAGTGCTTTGGAACTAGGACAGAAGCTCAATTCTGAAAACAATTACATTTCACTCTGTTTAGCTTTCTTTCAAAGAACATAAGCTAGAGCCATATGGCAAGAAGGAATTTCAACTGAGGAATTGTCCCCACCAAGGCCTGTGGGCTTGTCTGTGGGACATTTTCTTGATTACAATTGTTGTGGGAGCTACTCTGTAGTCCTTGCTACTCTGACTGTCCTGATATCGGTTGATTAGCACTTTTCCCGTGTCTCTCCAGGGTCACCACTCCAGCCTTCCATCTGGGCAGTTCCAGGAGCTGTGGTTTCCACAGGCAGTGCTGTGACCATCTTCTGCAGGATCCCTACAGGAGTGACCACTGTGCGTCTAATCCGTCTTGTACCCAGTGTTTTTGTGTCTGATGGTACCCCACAGGGAGCCCAGGAGGTGTTTGAATTCAGTCTGCAGACTATAACACACAGCAATGCTGGGGTTTACTGCTGTGAATACTTTAGGGGAGGTAAATGATCAAAAAGTAGTGACAGTCTGGAACTGGTGGTGACAGGTGAGTAACTGCCCAAGAACATTGTCCTTTAGGCTCAGCCTCTGATCCTACCTAACTAACCACATATGCCCCATCCCAGGCCCTGCTCTGCATCTCTGCCCCATTATAGTGATCTCTTCCCTTTGCTCTTCTCTCCTCTTCTCATTTCCTTTTCAATTTCCATTTTTTGTGACAACTTGATTTTCTTGAAAACTTAATTTTCAGTTTTCTTGGGACAAGTTCTCACATATCTCAGCTTGGCTTTGAACTTACTGTGTAACCAAGCATAATCTTGAATTTATGATCTCTCTATTTTTGTACTCATAGTACTGTTGACCTGGAGAATGACATCATCCATATGCTGACAGATATAGAACACAGGGCACTGTGTATATTAGGTGTATTAGGCAAGAACTTGACCAGCTAAGATTCAACCGAATACCTTCTGCTTTAGTGTGTGACCCTCAGTCTCTCCTGACCATATTGCAGCCTCCCTTCTGATTGGTGATTATATTGCCTAAGGGATGGAGTTCACAGGAACTGACAGGGGCTTTCTGTTTATGAAGAGCCTTTCTGTGGTCCTGGTTCATGAAAAATAATACAAACATGTTTTGTGATCCCTATAGATTAGCAATAGATGAGTTTCCTCTTCATCTTTCTTCTCTCTGATCAGACTCTGAACTGTAGGCTTATTTTTAATCATGTTTTAAATAACAGGGTTGTCCTGGCTAGTTTTGTGACAACTTGACAGAAGCAGAATAATTAGAGAGGAAGGAACCTCAGTTGAGGAAATGCCTCCATGAGATCCAGCTGTAATGCTTTTTCTCAAGTTGTGATCAACAGGGGAGGGCCAACCCATGGTGGGTGGTGCCATGACTGGGCTGGTGGTGAAAAGTTCTATAAGAAAACAAGCCAAGCAAGCCAGGGGAAGCAAATCAGTCAGCAGCACCTGTCCATGGCTTCTACATCAGCTCCTGCCTCTAGCATCCTGCCCTGTGAGTGTTCCTGTCTTGACTACCTTCAGTGATAAATAGCAATGTTGAAGTGTAAGCCAAGTAAACCCTTTCCTCCCCAACTTGCTTTCTGGTCATGTTATTTCATAGGAGCCATAAAAGCCCTCACTAATACAAGATATTTTTTTTTTGAAACAGGGTCTCAACTGTTTCAAACTCTGGTTTCCTTTGAACATCAATATTGAGCAGGATGTTTTTATTTTGTTTCATTCTCTATTATTTATTTTTTGCCTGGTCCCTCCTTATTTTTAAAAACTTATTATAGTTAATTAATACTTTTTCATTTTTTTTACACACTGACCACAGCCCACCCCCCCATTACCTCCGTTCTGACTCCCATCTATCCCCCTCCCCATACACCTTTCCCCTGTCTCTATTCAGAAAGGGCAGGACTCTCATGGGCTTGAACAAAGCCTGATACATCAAGTTGAGGTTGGATACCCTCCTCCCCTTATATCAAGCCTGGGCAAGGTAATCCAGCATGGGAACAGATTCCCAAGTGCCAGCTAAGTGTCAGGGACAAGTGCTAATATCATTGTTAGGATTTTTACAAATAGACCAAACGACACAACTACACAACATGCAGAGTGCCTAGCCTGCTCCCATGCAGGCTCCCTAACTGTTGGACCAGAGTCCATGGTCTCCCATGAACTCAGGTCAGCTGTCTTTGTGGGTTCCTCCACCATGACCCTGACTCCCCGCCAGCTCATACAATACTTCCTCCCTTTCTTCAGGAGGACTCCCAGAGTTGGACCCAGTGATATAGGCTGTGGATCTCTGCATCTGCTTTCATCAGTTACTGGATGAAGGCTCTCTGATGACAGGGTAGTCACCAATCTGATTACAGTAGACGGCCAGTTTATGTACCTTTTTTCACTATTACTAGGAGCCTTAGCTGGGGACAAGCAGGTTGCTTTTAAACTCACAAAGATCTTCCTGCCTCTGCCCCCTGAGTGCTGGGATTAAAGGCCCATGTCACAACGACCAGCTAATAGAATCTTTTCACTTCCAGGCATTTACAATGAGAAGCCATTCCTTACTGCTGATTCAGGACCTCAGGGAATCTCAGAAAGAAATGCGACTCTCCTCTGTCACACGCATCCTTCCTTTGACATCTTTATCCTCTGCAGAGGTGGAAATGCCTCCTTTCCCCAGAACTGCTCACGTCAGGACCACAGCACATTCCTCATCTCCCCTGTGAGCCCAGGGCACAGAAGGACCTACAGATGCTTTGGCTCTTACAAACACAGTTCCTACTTGTGGTCACTGCCTAGTGATCTGCTTGAGTTTTCAGTCTCACGTAAGTATGTCTGGTTTTTGTTTCTTATCTCTGTGGTTTGACACAGGAGGTCTCAAGGGATTTCACATGGGATATATCTATTCTACTTTATGTCTCCTGTGTGTCATATGTTGCACACTGCACTGCTCTTTTGACCGGAATTGCTCTGTTTCTGTTATGGGCTCTGAGCATAATTATATAATTAGTCATATTATTTTGGGGACATATTCATCTGGGGAATAGACATCTTCATCTGTCCATGATGAGAATCATCTTTCAGAATGTTTCTTTCTGAGTTATTTGTGTGACTAGTACATTACTAGCCGATGGAGACAGAAAAATTGAAAGAATATCTGCTAGTTTTTCCATTGATGACAGTTTTTTAGATCTCAAGAGATCATCTTGTTTTTTTTTATTTGCCTTTTTGGTTATAATACATCATTTTCTCCTGTCCTTACCCTTTCCCTAAACCCTCCCATGTACCCCTCCTTGCTATCTTTCTAATCCATGGCTTATTTTTACATTAATTATATATACATCAGTATATATACATGTACATGAATATATTTTTGGCATAACTTGCTTAGTCTGTATAATGTTATTATATGTATGTTTCTAGAGCTGAGCATTTGATATTGAATAACCAGTTTGTGTTCTTTTCCCTGGGGAAGACTATTCCCCCACTCTCAGCATTCCAGGTTCTTTATAGTCATCTATGTAGAGTGAGACCTCATGGGCTTTCTCCATCTACTATGGCACGTCTATCTGTTGTCCTTGTCCAGCTCATGTTTAGGTTGCCATGTTGGTGAAACTTTATGGGTATTACTTCTGATATTAGTAGGAGACACAATCTCACAACAAACTCCCTGGTCCACTGGGTCCTACAATCTTTCCTCCCCCTCTTTCACAATGCACAAGTTGTTTTGTAGATGTATCTATTGTGACTGAGCTCCACAACTCTGTATTTTGGTTTGTTGTATTTGTAATGGTATATGTGATGTAACTTTTTTTAATGGTCTTCATCTCTTGCATAAGCAAATTTTCTTGACGAGGGACTGGTGTGGGAAATACTTCTGTATATGTGCTGCTTTTATTGGTTAATGAATAACGAAGCTGCCTTGGCTTGTGATAGGGCAGAGTAGAGCTAGGTGGGGGGAGGGAGGAACTAAACTGAATGCTGGGGGAAAAGAAGGTGGAGTTGCAAAAAGCCATGTAGCCTCCACTGGGGACAAACTCCTGCGCTGGAGCCCACAGAAACTTTGTCAGTAGGCCGCAACCTCGTGGTAATATGCAGATTAATAGAAATGGGTTAAATTAAGATATAACACTAAGCCAGAAATATACTTAGGTTTTGGTCAAGCAATATTGCAAATAATACAGTTTCTGTGTGACTATTTCATGGTCTGGGCAGTTGGGAACAAACAAGCCTCCTCCCACTACAAGGAGCGAGTACTACACTTACTGTCCCACCACCCTTTGTAATTATGGTGCCACCTCTGAACAGTCATCAGTCCAGTGGAGAATGGAGGAAACATTTTTTGAATGTTAATTTTCCTTTTCTTATTTTAAAATAATCAAAAAAATTATTTACATTCCAACCACAATTCTCCCTCCTACCCCTCCTTCTACCTCTCCTCATTTTCCTCCCATTTCACCCCATCTAATCCTCCCAACTGGTAAGAGCTCCCATGGGGAGTTAACAAAGTCTGGCAGAATGTAGGAAACCTTAACAGAAAAAACTCACATTTCTTGACAGAGGGTGTTGACTGAGGTTTCTGTCCTACCTGGTTCTTGCAATTGTTAAGTCCCAAAGAAATCACACAAGGTCTATATTAGTTATAAATTAAATGGCCCATTGGCTCAGGCTTCTTATTAACTCTTTTAACTTATATTAACCCATTATTCTTATATGTGTTAGTCACGTAGCTCAGTACCTTATTTGGCGGGTCAGTCACATCTTGCTTCTTCTGTGTCTGGAACACAGACTCCAGAGGATTGGGCTTCCTCCTTCTCAGAATTTACTGTTCTCATTGACTTGCCTCTCATTCCTGTCTGGTTGTCCCACCTATACTTCTTGCCTGGCTACTGGCCAATCAGCATTTATTTAAAATATAATTGACAGAATACAGATCATTGTCCCACACCAAGATGGGACTTGTTTATTTATGTCTTAGAACTCCTGGTCATTTGGGATGTCTTGGGGTTTTAAGAGACTGAACATGTTTCAGGTATGGGAAATAAAGTAGGCAGGGCTGTGGAAGTTCAACTTGGGAACATACTTGAGATAGAATCTTGGGATAGAAAACATCAAGTGAGCATGGGTTAAAGATGGAAAAATGGACATGCTAAGGCAGGAAGAAGAAAGTCCAAGTAGAATAGAGAAGGGAATGATGCATGATGAGTTTCTGGTATACAGCGGTCCTGTTGGGATCTGCACCATTCTGAGACATCTACTTTCGTGCAGTATTTGCTGATGAAGTTTAATTTCACTGCTGCAGCCACGAGATCATCTATGATCTTCAGAATTATATATCCAATGGGATATGTGAGATTTATCTTTTGTAGACACTTAGCATACATCTCAACAGAGCCACAAATTGGAAAGCATCCACTCATCCCCCACACATCTGTCCTTGTGGGACAGAGAGTCCATCTGTTTCTTTTGAAGAGTAATTCTTCAGGGATCTTCTTTTGCTTTCAGTTCTCACATGGTTCATCATTAAACCATCTTTTGTGTCCTGAAAACATTCTTCAAATCCAGTTCCTTTTTTTTATGTCATCTTTGTCACACCAAAGTCACCTTTCACCCAGTCACCTTATTGTCTTTCTTCTTTCTACCCAATATTTTATCTATTCATCCCACAGAAAATTCACATTAAGCATTTTAGGAAAGGTTTCTATTCATCGCACAAAGTCATAGGTTCCATAATGATATTTTCTTCAGATATTTCCTAAACTGTGACCATATTTACCTCTATTTCTCTTTTGTCTGTGTCATTCCCACTAGTGTTCTGTTCTCACCTGGTCTCTTTCCTACTTTTATGTCATGAATATGTATACTGTACAGATGTATACACATACACCTCTCTGTCTCTGTCTCTGTCTCTGTCTCTGTCTCTCTCTCTCTCCATTCCACATAGGGAATAAAACATCTGTTATTTGAATCTGAAATATTTTGCTCAATATGAGGACCGCATTCTCATCCATGTTCTGGCACATTGCATCAGTTAGTTCATCTTTCTGTCTGAATAAATTCCCATTCTGTGTATACACTGCTGTTCTAGTTACCATTGTTGCAATGAAACATGCGAGAAAAACAACTTAAGGAAGTCATGGTTTACTTTATTGCTCAATTTGAGCTACTTGAAGTACATTCATCATGGTGGGGAAGGTGTGGTGGAAGGTGGTTGGTCACATTGCATCAATATTCAGGAAGCAGGGAGCAGAGAGCGATGGCTGCTTCAGCTCAGCTACCTTTCTCCTTTTTAATGCAATGACTGAAGCTCTGGGAATGGTGCATCTCACTTTTAGGTTGGGTGATCCCTCCTCAGTTAGTCTAATCAGTATGGTCTCTCGCAGGCATGGTCAGAGACTAGCTGAATCCAGACTACCCCTCACGGACATGCCCAGAAGCTTGTCTCCTGCGTAGATCCTGTCAAGTTGCTAATTAATATCACCAACACAAGTGCATTTTCTTTTTCCTTTTTTTTAAAATGAGTTTTCAGTTAGGACACACAAAGTACTAGATTTTACTCAAGCATCTTTACACACAAAGTAGCACTAGGCTTTGTCTCATTGTTCCCCTCTTTGCCCTCTCTGTTGTCCCTTCTCTGCTGCCAACTACTTCCTTTCTTCCCTGTAGCTAGTGCCCACTGTTGTGTTTCTCTTCTTCTTTTTTAAAATGTGAGTGGTGTGTGGTGCATGTACATGAGGCTGTGGGTACACACATACATGGAAACCAGAGCAAGGTGTCAGCTGTCTTCTTCTACCCTCTACCTCATTTTTTTGAGGTTGGATTTATCACCAGACTTGTTCCTTGTTCTTTTGGTTAGGCTGGCTGACTACTGAACTCTTTCTTTTTAATTATCATTTTTTCATTTATTTTACATATTGACTACAGTTTCTCCTCTCTTTCTCTTCCTGTCCCCACACTCCTCACCTCCATCCAACCCTCTCCTTGTTCACACTCTTCCTCCCTTTTTATTTAGAAAGGGGCAGGCCTCCCATAGGCTTGAACAATGTATGGCATATCACATTGAGGCAGGACCAAGCTCCTCTCCCTGACCCCCTGTATCAAGTCTGGGGGTGGTAATCCAGCATGGGGAACAGAGTTCCAAAAGCCAACTAAGCACCAGGACAGGTCCTGATCTCAATGCTAGGAGTCTTACAAAGAGACCAAGGTACATAACTGTCACACACATACAGAGGGCCTAGGTTGGTCCCATGCAGGCTTCCTGACTGATGGTCCAGAGTCCATGTCTTCCACACACTCAGGTTAGCTGTCTTTGTCTTTGTGATCTCTCACCATGATCATGACGTCCTCCCCTCCCCATGGCTCATAGAATTCCTCCTCCCTTTCTTTAGCAAGACTCCCAGAGCTCTGCCCAGTGCTTGACTGGACCACTCAACTCTTGAGATTCTGCTGTTTCCACTCCCCAGTATTGAGTTACAAGCATGTATAACTATGTTTCTATGTATGCTTGTATGTATGTGGTTATTGGAGATTTGAACTGAGATCCTCATGCTTACAAGGCAAGTATGTTTATCCACTGAGCCATCTCACTAGCCTTTTGTCTTCTTTTTTTTAGCCAAGTGATTTGCTGTTTTGGTTTTTCTTTTTTCTGTTTTTTAATTGATTAATTAATTAATTGATTTTTATTGAGCTCTACTTTTCTTCTTTCCTCCCTGCCTCTCCCCTCCCTCCTTCAATCCTCCCCCAAGGTTGAAGTCTATTTTGTTAGATACTAGGATTGCTACCCCAGCTTATTTCTTTGATCCATTTGATTGGAAATTTTTTTCCTAACCCTTTATTTTGAGGCGATGTCTGTCTTTGAGGTTGTGATGTGTTTCTTGTATGAAGCTGAAGTATGGGTTGTGTTTTCGTATCCAATCTGTTAGTCTGTGTCTTTTATAGGTGAGTTGAGTCCATTTAGATCAAGGGATGTTAATCACCATTGATTACTGTCTCCTGTTAATTTAGTTTTTATTGTTGGTGATGTTAATTTTTGTGTTTTTCCCTATTTGAAATTTTCTGCTGTGAGATCATCAATTGTCTGTGTTTTTGTTTATGTTGCCAACTTCCTTGGGTTGGAGTTTTTTTCCCAGTACTTCTGTAGGACTGGGTTAGTGGCTAGTTATTGGTTAAATCTGGTTTTGTGGTGGAATACCTTGTTTTGTCCTTCTGTGGTGATTGAACGTTTTGCTGGCTATAGTATTAAGGGATGACATCCATGGTCTCTTAATGTCTGTGTAACACGTGACCAGGACCTTTTGACTTTCATTGTCTCCGTTGAGAAGTCAGGTGTAATTCTGATAGGTCTGCCTTTATATGTTAATTGGCTTTTTTCTTTGCAGCTCTTAATATTAATATGCTTAGTGTATTGATTATTATATGGAGAGGGGATATTTTTCTTTGATAGAATCTATTTGGTGTTCTGTAAGATCTTGTATCTTCATAGACATATCTTTCTTTAGGTTGAAAATGTTTTATTCTATGATTTTATGAAATATATTTTCTGTGTTTTTGAGTTCAGTTTGTTCTTCTCCTTCTATACCTATTAGTCGTAGGTTTGGTTTTTTTCATGGTATACCATATTTTCTGGATATTTTGGGTTAAGCTTTTGTTAGATTTAATGTTTCCTTTGACTGAAGAGTCTATTTCTTCTATTGTATCTTCAGCGATTGAGATTCTCATGCCATACAGTAGTCCTTTATATCTGCACGCAGAGAGGTCTCAAGATATGTCAGTCAGGTGGGAGGCAACAATTCCACTGTGTTTCAGTTGTGCATTGAATGTTGCACAGTGCACCACTGTCCTGTCTGGAATCATTTCATCTGCAATCTGGAATCTGAAGGTTATCTATTAATTATGTGAAATTAGGGCATATGCAGGTGTGTCCTTTTGTAGAAGAGATATCATTACACATCATTACCCAGTTCCTGACTGTGTAACCTACCGTAGTGTGTGCACACTTGAACACACAGAAACACACACACCCCTTTCTAGCTAATAGTAATAGAGGATTTGAGAGTGCCTATGTTATTTACTCATTCCAGAAGACTTGAATCTTTGTCTTATATCACATTTTAAGAGCACAGTTTTGCATATGAATAGCCATCCCAGTAGTGGAGAAGGTACGAAGACATTTGCCAAACAGTACAAGAGGAATTTTAATCAGGACTTGCAGGGTCATGTAGGGAGAGAGCAGATCCAGACTCCATGATGGATAAGGTTCAGTTCTGTATCCTTAGCTTATCCAGTGAGTTGGTATTTTTCAGAGTTTTAGTGGAGGTAACATTTGGGTATGGAGACTAGGGGCACAGTTGTGTTCTCTAAGAACTGTAGTGCAAGTATGAATTTTCTCTTTGCAAATACAGTCTGTGTTCTTAGTAGTTAATAACAAGCCCTGTACCACAGATTCTAGTGAATATACCAGAACCAAAAAGCCATGGTAACAGTATCCTAGTAATCAACACCAATCCTCTTTAGATAGTCTGTAATGATTTTGGTTACAGGTTCAACATGCATCTCTTTTAGTGCTTTGCTCTGAGGAAATATCCTTGCCTGATTCTGACATTGTAGAAATCTCAATAGGTGAGTTTTGTAATCTAACTGCCCTGAGCTCATCCAACCAAAAAGCCTCCTTAGCTGTTCATACAGTTCTATGTATTTGGCAGAAGTGGTCTTTCTATAATTCATGTAGACATGTATTCTAAGTTCAAATATAATGGTCATTAGAGAAAACCATCTACAAATAAATTGATATGATTGACATAAAAAATTTAAATATTTTGTTTTCTCCACAGAGTCTTCTACATCAAATTACAGATTAGAGAATCACATCCGGCTCATCCTGGCTATCGTCATCCTGTTAGGTCTTGGGGCTCTATTGCTGGATGCTTGGAGCAGCAGAGAGAGCCCATGAGGTCTTCAGAGAGTCCTAACCTGAATGCCTAGCTACCCCTTCCTATACCTCACCAAAATGCTGGCAATAAAGAGTCTAAAAGGAGTTGTGATCTCTCTGCTGAGTATTCAATGTCTGGAGATGTCGTACAAATCTTGTGATGTGACTGGAATTTCAAAACTCTTTGTGTGGTGTTTGTAGGAGAGATCCCCCAAGTAGCAGATGCCTGTTTTTCTCTTCTGTTTCCTGTGGGGCATATCTATGTAGTACCCATCCCTCATTTCTTATTTTTCTTCATATGATTGCCTTCCTCTTCTTTGTTCCCTGCTATCTTGTGGACATTCTAGTTTGGAACGTGAGTGAATTGCATTGTTGACAAGAGTATATCCATGCTGGATGCTAACCCCCAGAGACACTTGGAATGCCAAAGCCTTCACCTGGTCCTTGTGTAGATGTTGATCATGAGTGTAGTAAGTGACATTTGCAGCTTCTTCGTCCATGTTGACTGCAGTGTTAGATGTTCTCCTATGGAGAAGCCCTATGATAGGAACTAACCTAAATCCCCATTCCTGACATATATAAGATCAGCAGCTCAGTGAGTCCCAATTTCCTGTGCATCTCCATAAGAGAGAGTACTTACTGTCCACATGACCCCAGCCTTACTTCTTTCACTTGAGTCATCTTTCTTAATGTCTTTTGCCCCAGCCAGATTCTTAAACTCAGCTGCTTATGTTGCATGTCTACCCCATCTCATGCTAGGAGTTCCCCTCTCTGTCTTGTTGTGTCACTATGCTCCTTCACCTCTGACCCTGCGAGCAGCATCCATCCTTCAGTGTGAGTTCCTTGTCAAGCATAGCACTTTTCTTTCTTAGATTTATCTTTTGATCAGCAAATGTGTTTAATTGAGGCATTTTATTACATTTGTGGCATTAGACTTTACAGTCATCTCTTTTCTAGTGCCTTCCTGTACCTTCTCTTTCCTCTAGCTCTTTTTCTTTCTGCCCGCACTGATATCTTGGCTTTTACACTCTGTCATCTTTTCTTTTTCTCCCTCCCCCTAAGATCTTTGAGATACTTACAATGACTTTTGATTGCATATAATTCTTACTAGAGGAGAATAATTCCCTGTGTAGGGTAACTACAGTTACATACTTTCAAATGGATATATGTACATTTATATGCATATACATCTATATATACATATACATATATCCATGAAATATTTAGGAAGCTTATCAAGTTTATGGATTTCTATGCTGCTTTTTCTTTTTTTAATTGATTTTTATTGAGCTCTACATTTTTCTCTGCTCCCTTCTCTGCCTCTCCCGTCTATGTGGCTTTTTCAAATATCCTTTTTATTTTTTGAGTCAGAGTTTCTCTGTAGCTTTGGAGCCTCTCCTGGAGTTAGATCTTGTAGACCAGGTTGGCTTTGAGCTCACAGAGATCCACCTACCTCTCTCTCTTGAGTGCTGGGATTAAAGGCATGTGCCACCACTGCCTGGCTCAAACATCTTTTTTAAAGCTAACATCTCCCTACTCTCTTTCTACCCTATGTTCCCACTCCTCTTCGTGATTAACTCCCCCTCCCCATTTTCTGTATTTCCCTTTACCTTCATCTGTGTTGTGCTGTGCCGCCTCCCTTAGGATTGTCTTTCTTCACCCTACTGAATGTCCCTTTCTACTTTTCTGGATTATTCAGCAGGTACTTCAAATTAAACAAACCAAAACACGTAAATACACCACACTAAGATACACATATAAGTGGGGACATGCAACATTTGTCTTTTTGGGTCTGGATTAATTCATTCAGTATAATGATTTCTACCTCCTTCTGCCTACGTGTAAATTGCAGTTTTCTTTACAGCTGAGTAAAATCCCATTGAGTATGAATATCTGTCTTAGTCATTAGTCTATTGCTGTGAAAATACCCCATGACCAAAGGTACTCTTTTGAAGGGAAATATTTAATTGGTGCTTAATTACAGTCTCAGAGGTTTAGTCCATTGTCATCATGGCATAGAAGTGTGGCGGTACACAGAGAGACAGTGGGGCAGTAGCTGAGAACTACAACATCCTCCATATGCAGAGAGGGAGATTCTTGACTTGGCATAGGCTTTTGAAACCTCAAAGCCTACTCCATAGTTCCTTATCCTTTCAGATAGTGCCCCTCCCCAGTAACCAAGCTTTCAAACCTACGAGCCTATGGGAACCATCCTTATTCAAACCCGCATGCTTCATTCCCTTGACTTGGCATTTGTGCACATGGCCATCACAGCTGCTTTTGTGCACATGGTTATCACAGCTGCTTTTGTGCTATGGCCATCACAGCTGCTTTTGTGCATCTGGCCATCACTGCTGCGACTCAACACTGTGATCATCGCTCCCCAGCATCTTTCCCTTCACCATCAATGCTCCTCTCTGTGTGCTAGGGAGTTCTTATGCCTTTGTGGATTTTGTTCAGGCTTTGAAGGTTGAAAACGTATTAAACTGTAGACTCCTTATAAAACAATTATTAACTAATTTTATTAATTTATTTTACTTCCCAACCTAAGTCTCCCCTCCCTCTCTCCTGTTGTACGGAGACTACTTGTTTGTTCCTGACTGCCCAGAACTGAAATAATCACACAGAAACCATATCATTTATATCACTGCTTGGGCAGTTACTTAAACATTGTTAGCTAGCTTTTACATTTTGAATAACCCATTTTCATTATTTTATATTTTACCACGAGGCTGGTAGCCTACTGACAAAGTTCCATCTGGCATCTCACATCTTTCCCCTCTGTCAGCTGCATGGCGTCTCACTGGCTCTGCCTTCTTTCTCCCAGCATTGAGTTTACTTTTCCCCACTGATACTCTACCCTATCACAGGCCAATGCAGTTTCTTTATTAAACAATGGTATTCACTGCATACAGAGGGAAATCCCACATCACCCTCCTTTTGTCCTCCCCACCTCCTCCTACACACCCATACACTCCTCTTCAGTCTCCATTCATAAAAAGGCAGGCCTCCCATTGGTGTCAGCAAAGCATGGCACATCGATTTGAGGCAGGATCAAGCTCTTCCCCCTGCATCAAGACTGGGAAAGGCAGCTCAGCATGGGGAATAGATTCCTAAAAGCCAGCTGAAGCTCCAGGGACATGTCTTGGTCCCACTGGTAGGAGCCCCACAAACAGGCTAATCTACACAACTGTCACACATATAGAGGGCATAGGTTGGTCCCATGCTGGCTTCCTAGCTGGTGGTCTAGAGTTCCTGTACTCCATGAGCTCAGATCAGCCATCTGTGTGGGTTACTCTGTCTTGACCTTGAGCCCTCTGGCTGGTACAATCCTCACTCTCTTCAATAAAACTCTAGGAGTTGGGCCCAATTCTTGACAATGGATTTCTGCATCTGATTCCATCAGTTACTAGATAAAAGCTTACTGATGACAATTAGGCTAGTCACCAGTCTAACTAGAGGAGATGCCCAGTTCAGGCACCCTCTCCATTATTGCTAGGCACATTGGGGGGAGTCATCCTTGTGGATTCCTGGGAGTTTCCCTGGCATCAGGTGTCTCCCTAACCTTGAAATGCCCCTCCCACATCAAGACATCTCTTTCATTACTCCCCCCCGTCTCACCCTCAATTAGATCACCCCAATCCCTCATGTTCCCATCCTCCCCATACCCACTGCTCTCATTCCTCATTCCCCCAATTTACCCAGAAGATCTTTTCTATTTCCCCTCCCCAGGGGAATCCATTTGTCCCTCTTTGTTTCCTAGGTTCCCTGAGGCTGTAGATTGCAGCCAGCTTATTCTTTACTTTACGCCTAATATTAATTTTTTTTTTGAGATAGGATTTCTTTGTGTAGCCTTCCTTGTTCTGGAACTAACTTTTTAGACCAGGCTGGCCTCAAACTCAGAGATAATCCTGCTTCTGCCTCCCAAGTGCTGGGATTAAAGGTGTGCACCACCACTGCCCTGCAATATCCACTTATGAGTGAGTACATACCATGCTTGTTTTTCTGAGCTGGGGTTATGTAATGATCTGTTCTATCTCTTTAAGAGACAAGCCATGCCCACTCCCTCCCCCATCTGCTGAGGCCTGAGTCCCTTCCTTTTCCATCTCCCTCTCATAGAGGCAGCTTCTGTCTCTCCTTTCACCCCCGCTTTCTCTTTCTCTGCTCTTCTTTCTTCTCCCTTTCCCTTCCACAACCTACTAAATAAAAGTCCAACCTCACTCCACCTGGTGTGCCTATCTGTCTGTCTCTCACCCTCCTTGTGGTTCCCTGCCCAGGACCAGCCTCCTTTGGAGACCTGTGGTGTGGTCTCGTGCACAGTCCATGTCTGGGACTGGCTGCTCTCAGAACACAATGCCAAGTACCGCCGCTTGGGGACCTGCAGCGTTTCTGCTGCTGCAGCCACTTGGGGATCTGTAACATTTTATTTAATTCAGTACATTGGTTCCAGGACTCGGATGGTTCTCCCACCCCTCTCCCCATTCCTGGGGTCAGGATCCAGAACTGGGTTTTTTTTTTCCACAACAGCCACGTTTTCCATATGCCTGAACATGATTTCTGCAGCATGATTTCTATGCACACCACCAGCTTCAATTGGTGAGTCCCCCCCCTTTCTGGTCAGCTTAACCATTTCTTTGAACCCGAGGAATTGATTAATGAGTGTCTGGTCAAACTCTGATGTCCCTAGAAACAGGGAGGTAACCCCCAACTATGGACAGTTGAGCCCTTTGCTGACATTCAACTCTGGATTGCTCTTCTTAGTGCAAATCATGACAGGACTGACCCGTGCTAGCACTGCACACACTGATTCAATTGGGGGTCCAGAGTCCCTCAGATTTTTCTTTCTCTTTTTTTTCTTTTTCTCTTACCCCCCCTCCCCGCTGTGAAAGGGTGCTCAGAGCAACCTCTGGCCTCTCTGCCTTCTGACCAAATCCAGTCAGGATGTAACACCCACCCCGGGGGCAGAGGATGCTCTCCTATGGGTCCTGCGGTGTTCACACTGCTTTACACCCCGCCTATAGGGGAAGACGTCCTGTTATAGGCCTTGTGGTGTTTCTGTTTTCACGGTTTCAGCTGTGGGTAGCAAGCCATCCATGTCCATTCCTCCAGAGATGGATGCATTTTAGAGGCCCTAAAACCCCAGGCCTTAATGCCCTCCTTCTTCAGCTTCTATTGTCACTTCTCTGATGTTCTGCCAGCTCCATTTTTATGGGAGCTTTCTAACTACTGTCAGTGCACAGGAAAATGGAAGGAGTTTCCTCAAACTGTTCCTGCCACCTCTACTGCTGCCAACAAGATTGGTCTGATTCAAGACACAGCTGTTTTCAACTCCAGTCTTTTGCTCCCCTCTGCAGCTTGTGGCCTGGTGGCTCAGCCACAGGGTATGTCAGGCCTCTAGGTCTCTCTTATTATTAAACTTAAAATCCCTGCAGCTCAAAAATTCTGGCTTTTCCATACAACATGTAACTGCTGCCATTTTGAATGAGGTGAGGTGACTTTGCCACCACCTTGGCTGAGGTCACGTGACTTCACCAACTCTTAACTGAGAGCTAGGCCAGGTTACCAAGTCCTGCCATCTTTACTGAAGTATACCCTGCTTTACTTATGTCCCCCAATTCACTTATGTTTTTCTCTCTAAATTCCTCTTGTTGATTCTGTTGCATGTATGTTTTATGCAGTGGCATGCCTTTGGTAGGACCCACCAAGAGCATTCACTTCACCCAATTCCTGTTCACTCTCTGTGTGTGTTCATACAGGTAACTTAAATGCACCTATGTTTATTGTAAATGTTATAATTGTCCATTTATAACATTTATAATTGCATCTCATTTCAGACTACAAAACCAAGAAGTTTCATGTTTTAAATTGGTATGTACCTTTAAGTCTCTTACAAAAATACTTTATATTTAATCCAACCCTCATTTAAAATATATTAAGATGTTCTCTACTACTGTCAGTTCTGCCATTAACCTCCTGTTGCAAGCAGTTTTTTCTTCTTTCTGTCTTTTTATGAGTGTAAATCTTACCTGCTAAGTTAACAGCCAGTAGAGTCAAGCTCAGACCCAGCTTTCCAGGCAGATTCTATTCTGTTGTTACACCTGATAAACAGCCCTCAACTCCTCAGAGATCTGGGGGATATGGCATTTAAATATTTAATTATTAAAAACCTTTTCATAACAAAAAGAGACAGGCTGGCTCCTAGAAGCAGCACTCTATTCCCTCCAAAGAAGACAGAAGATGAATGGGCACAAAACAACACCCATCCATAATTCACTTCAACTGTCAAGTGCTGACCACTGGGAAAAACTGCCTTTCATCTAAACTGAAGATCTCCAGACGTGGACAGAATAGCTGGAATTGACAACCTAACTGCTCAGGTCAAGTTCTTCCTACAGATTTCTTAGCTCACAGCTTCTGGAGCCTGGCAGGCCCTGTGCTAAACAGCAAAAGGCAAATATGACCTTCAGCGACCATGGAGGACCCTGAGGAGTAGCTCTAGGTGCCAACCAAGTAAGTTCTCTGTCGTTTTTTAATCAGTAACTCATAACTCACTGAAACTGTCTTACTTTGCTTGACTAAAACACTTGATGGGGCTAATAAAGAGCTAAATAGCCATTAGCAAGGCAGGGGAAAGGATACATGGGGCTGGCAGACAGAGAACAAATAGAAGGAGAATAAGAGAGAAAGGAAAATTGAAGAGCAAGAAGAAGGGGCCAGACATCCAGCTATTCTTAGAAGAAGGAAAGACAAGGTATACCAACATAGAGAAAGGTAAAAGTCCAGAGGCAAAAGACAGACAGGATAATGTAAGTTAAGAAAAGCTGGCTAAACAGTGGAGAGGGTACCTTAACTGGCCATTTCCTGTAATTATATTACATCAGGGATGTAATACTGTCATCAGGGATACTCTATCCAGTAACTGATGGAAGCAGATGCAGAGATCAACAGTCAAGCATTGGATTGAGCTCAGGGAATCTTGCCGAAGAAAGGGAGGAGGGATTGTATGAACCAGGGGTGTCATGACAGGGGAATCCGCAGAGACAGTGGACCTGAGCTCATGAGAGCTCATGGACTCTGGATCAACAGTTAGGAAGCCTGCATGGGACCGATGTAAGCTCTCTGCATGTTTGTCACAGTTGTGTAGTTTGGTCTGTTTGTAAAGCTCTTAGGAGTGAGACCAGGACCTGTCCCTGGCACTTAACTGGCTTTTTGGAACCCTTTTCCCATGCTGGATTGCCTGGCCCCACCATGACATAAGGGGAGGATCTTGGTCCTGCCTCAACTTGACATTCCATGCTTTGTTCAAGCCCATGGAAGGCCTGTCCCTTTCTGAATGAAGACAGGAGGATTGGAAGAGGAGGAGGTAGACAGGAAGTGGGAGACACTGGGAGGAAGGGAGGGAGGGGAAACTCTGGGTGGTATATAAAATAAATAAAGTTATTTAAATAAAATAATAAAAAAGAAAAGCTGAATAGAAAGAAGCCAAGATAAGACTGGGTATTCATAAAAAAGAATAAACCTCCTTGAAATGTATTTGGAAGCTGGGTGGTGAGCCCCCAAAGAGCAAAAGAGTAAGAAAGCAACCAATGATGTTAGCTGCTTGGATTTCTTCTTCTGAGAACTCTGTGTTTATTCTATAACCTTCTTTTAAATAATTTTTTGTATTGTCGGTCATTTGTAGGTTCTTGGTTACGCAGTTTGATAATTAGGGAAATTTACTGAGAGCATCCACATACTACAGAAGCATTGGTCCCCAGCATCCCCTCCCATCTATGTTGTCAAATTTAGTGTCCCACCAAGAAGAGTCTAACTGTTCTGTAGATTATGAATTTGTGCTCAATGATTTCTGGCTGCATCTCACTGTGTTCTCTGAAGCATTGGCCATAAGTCTCCTACATCAGATATGGGGATACCAGAGAACAGCATTACCCTTAGCCCTTTAAATTCTGTCTTTGAGAATTTAAAGCCAGAATAGTAAGTGCATAGAGGAACAGTTTCCCAGATTAGAGCTGTGGGGTAGGATGTTGGAGACAGGTCTTGTGTGAGAACATCCTCTTCCTCTTTTGTACTGGTTGTCATCATCCTGGCCTTTAGCCTGCTCTCTCCCATGGGTGTGTCCCACAGTGTGGACTGTGTCACCATTTCTGTGTTCTGTTTCTGTGAAGATCTGGCATGAGACACTGCCATGGTCCTTGGAGCTGCTCTTTTTGGACTTGGTAAGTGTGACAAGGGCCATTCTTTTTTAGCTAGAGTGGTAATGGGTACAGATTCCCAGGTTTATAACCTGGGCATCTCTCATAGAACTCTTTCTCTATGAAGACTTAGTCTGGTGGCTGCAGAGGAGTCTTCCCTGGCCTCAACCTGTCCATCTGGCCTTGGAGTTTTGATCTGAGCTCTGGGGTTGGGATCAGTGTATACCAGGACAGACTTGTCTTATCAGGTCTTTTGCTCTATTTGCAGTGTTTTTAATGGTTCAGAAGATCTGGGCACAGCATGGTGAGTCTGTTCTCTATTTTAGCCATGGGGAACTGAGTTTGGCTCAGAGTAGCATGGGAGGAGCTTGAAGCATCTTATGCGGATCCTGAGAAGGGATTTTCATTGGCAGCCACTGTTGGAGCCCCCAAGACTCTACAGTGAATGCACAGCTGACAGACCAATAGGCAGATCCATAGGAAGTGTATATGTACACGTCCACATGGAATAACCCGTTTTGCAGAGCTGTGGGAACACTTGTCTTTAGGAAAGGTTGCTGGCATATCTGTGAAAACCTTGTAAACCCATGAATCTTCCTTTCGAAATGGGGATTCATTCCCAGAACATATCGGCGGTGTAATCTCTGCAGGGGCAGTGAAATGACCTTGCTCCATTCCCCCACACCAGGAGGCCTTGAAGGGGTGGCATTCACTTTTTGTTCTAGCAGTCAAATTTATATAGAGTGAATCTCACAAAATTACCTGCTAACAGAGCATGTAGAAATTTCCATAGAAGACAGGCACTGAGCAGGAAGGCTGCATGCTCCGCCTTTGCTAACAAGCAAATCTGGGCGTCCCCAAAGCTGGTTATCACAGAAGAGATTAGATGTGGAGAATGGGTGAATCCAGGATTCAGGGATGTTTAGTAACTTTATCTGATGGTTTGGAATCCGGTACTTCCCCTTGAATGCTGGCTCTTTCCTGGGTGATATCACCTGTTTCGGAGTACAGCTTTGTCCAGTTCTACCTGCCCTTTTCAATGATTTTGATATTTATATTATCATTGTCCTTGCCTATGGAATTTTTCAACTATGTTTGTAAAAACTAGAAACCTTGTAGAGAGGAGTCTTTATTCTTTTCTTTCTTCTTTTTCTTTTCTTCTTCACTACTTCTTCCCCTTACCCTGCTTCTTCTTTCTTCTCCTTCTCCTTCTTGCCCTTTCACTTCACTTTCTCCCCTTGCATGACAAATAAAGAACATGCAGAGGTAACGTGTTTGAGTTAATTTTTTACCCTCAGATCCTTGTCTACCAAAGACATCAATTCTGAGCCCTGAGTGGGTACTGAGGCTGGTACTCAAGGCCTCTGATAAGCCACAGGCACAGTTACTTAATGATCAGTCCTTACTATTGGAGCCATCTTTGGGGTGGGGATTCTCAACTGTGCTCTAGTAAAGCCTGCAAGATATGTGTCTTGGAAGGATATTGGAATAAATGGCACAGAGGAGGGGACACCTGCACACGCATGTTTCCTCCTGAAGCTGCAAACATTCAATTTTGAATTTTTTCTTTTTTCTCCTCTCTCTCGGGCTGTGTCTGATTCTCATACTTGGGAAGATGCATCATCCACAAGACAGAGTTGAAGTGAATGTTGTCTAATATGTGTGTGTGGCAAGATGGGATTCTGATGTGGGATTCCCCTCTGTAGGCTGTGAATATACTTTATTGCCATTGGCTAATTGAGAAACTGCTTTGGCCTATGGCAGGGTGATGGGAAAGCTTGGTTAACCCATTATCTTTGAGAGGTGGGACCAACTTAGGGTGTGGCTTGCTGGGACCATGAGAAAAAATGGTACAGGCCCAGGTGTGCTCTCTGTGTGGTTCCCTTGTGGCACAGCTGAGCTTGGACTTCTCGTTCCTGTTTTCATGAATTTTCCCCTTATAATAAATAAAAATATAATTGTTTTATCTTCTAGCTAGCCTGGTTATTTTCCAATACAGCAGGGCAGAAATTTGGAAAATCCAAGCAGGGATAGAGGAGGAAAGAAGATGGAATCAGCAGATACGATGTAGCTACCGAAGGAGAAAGATGCTGGTACCTTACCAGTAAGCCACAGCCTCATGTTGATATATTGATCAATACAAATGGGTTAATTTAAGATGTGAGCATTAGCTAGTAATATGGCCGAACCATTAGTCGAACAATATTGTAATGAATATTGTTTATGTGTGATTATTTGGTCTGGGCAGCCAGAAAATGAAAATGCAGTCTCAGTTTACAAATGGCACCCAAAATTTTGGCAAGAGTATTCACACAGAGTCTAAGAAAGCTTGAATAATAAAAAAGGGCTCAGACACAAAAGTGAGAGTCAATTGGAGCTTCTTGGTAGCTGTATGTTTTTCGATAGGCTGTTTGTTGGTGGCGAGCAGAGGTGTGGCTCCTTTAAGAGAAGGCTTCCTGACTCAACACTAGCAGGAAAAGCTGCATGGTTCCTTTAAGAAAGAGCTTCCTGGTTCATGCTGGTGGCACAGATAGCTCTGCCTCTTTCAGAAGGTCTTATTATGGAACACTTGAATGGGGTTTGTGGGAAGTAACTGCTTCTGAGAGTAGGAGTGGTAGACATGGATCCAAGGATTCATTTATTTTTATTCATTTATTCAATATGATAATATGATATTGGAGTTCGGTGTAGAGATTGGGTTTTCTATGGAGGCAAGAGACAAAGTAAGACATAGGTCAGTGATTTAATGAAATTTTAAATTGATTGGCCCAGGAAAGTGGGAGGGTTTGGTGATTAGAATGACAACCCACAGGGTTCATTACTGAGCTTGTAGAAGACAAGGAGAAAAGCCCCTGATAGCACTAAGGTATAAGAGGTACTCTTCCATTGTTTGGGAACAGAAAATATAATTAGGCCTTTTGAGATATACCAGATGTTCAATTCTGAAAATAATGAGACTTCACTTTGGAGGTGTGCTGGTTAGTTTTCTTTCAACATGACGTAAGCTAGAGTCATCTGGAAAGAAGGAACATCAGCTGAGGAACTGCTTCCACTACACTGTTGTGTGAGCATGTTTGTGGGGCATTTTCTTGATTAGTAGTTGTTGTGGGAGCCACTGTATAGCTCCTTGAAAAGCTGGATCTCCTGATATCAGTTGACTGGTGCTTTTTTCCGTGTCTCTCTAGGGCCACCACCCCAGTCGTCCATCTGGGCAGTTCCAGGAGCTGTGGTTTCCAAAGGCAGTGCTGTGACCATCTTCTGCAGGGTCCCTCCAGGAGTGACCACTGTGTGTCTAGCCCGTCTTCCACCCAGGACTGTGTGGTATGATGGTACCACACAGGGAGCCCAGGAGGTGTTTGAATTCAGTCTGCAGAATATAACACAGAGTAAAGCTGGGGTTTACTTCTGTGCATACTTTAATGGAAGTCAATGGTCACGAAATAGTAAGAATCTGGAACTGGTGATGACTGCCCAAGGCCACTTCTTCAGACTTAGTCTTGGAAGCCTACCTCACTGAACCACGTATGCCCCATCATGAACCCTGCCCTGTATCTCTGCTCCCATATAACGATTTCTTCCTTCCTTTCCCTTCCCCTCCCTTCCCCTCTCTGCTCCTTGCTGCTCCTCTCCTCTTCTTCTCTCCTTTCCTCTTCTCTCTTTTCTCCTCTCCTCTTTTCATCCTTTCCTTTTCAATTTCCATTTTTTTCTAATAATTTTTTTGAAACAGATTCTTACATATCTCAGACTGGCCTTAAACTTGCTGTGAGTCCAAACATCATCTTGATCTTCTGGTCCCTTTGCTGCTACTCTCCTAGTGTTGTCATTAGAGACATTGACAATGACACCATTCATGTGGTGATGGTCACAGAACACAGGGCACTGTGTATATGTAAGGCAGGAACTCAACCAATCAAGATTCAACCCTAGACCCTCTGTTTTGGTTTGTGATCCTCCCTCTGTGCTGGCCGTGTTCTAGGCTTCCTTCAGAATGGTGACTATAGCCCCTAAAGGATGGAGTTCATGGGAATTGACAGCAGCCTTTTGTATATACATAGGGCATTTCTATGGTCCTGGTTCATGAAAAATAATACAAACACATTTTGTGATCCTTGTTGATTAACGTTGGATGAGTTCTCTTTTGTCTTCATCTTTTCTTCTCTCTGGTCAGACTCTGAACTGTAGGCTTATATTTCATCATGTTTGAAATACCAGCATTGTACTGGCTAGTTTTGTATCAACTTTACAGAAGCTAAGTCATCAGAGAGGAAGGAGACTCATTGAGGTAATGCCTCCATGAGAACCAGTTCCACAGCATTTTCTCAAGTAGTGATCAACGGGGTAGGGCCCAGCCCATTGTGGGTTGTGCCATCCCTGGGCTGGTGGCCCTGGGTTTTGTAAGAAAGCAGACTGAGCAAGACATGGAAACAAGTCAATAAGAAGCACCCCTCCATGACCTCTGTATCAACTCCTGTCCCTAGCCTCATGCCCTGCTTGAGTTCCTGTCATCACTTCCTTCAATGATGAATAGCAATGCTGAAGTGTAAGCCCAATAAAACCTTCCCTCCCCAACTTACTTTTTGGTAATGTTTCATAGCAGCGATAGAAGCCTTAAATAAGACAAGAGTCTTTTTGTAAATATTTTAACACAGGATCTCATTGTGTAATTCTGACTGTCCTTGAAACCTCAATATTGAGCAGATTGTTTTTATTTATTTATTTATTTATTTAGCCTGGTCCCTCATTCTTTTTTAAAATTTTTTATTATTTAACAGTTTTTTTTGTTTCTTTTAAGTACCAGCCACAGTTTTCCCTCTCTCCTCTCAACCTTTTCCCTCCCCAGGCTCCCCTTTACACCCCCCCCCATCCACTCCCCCATGTCTATTCAGAAAGGGACAGGACTCCCATGGGCTTGAACAAAGCATGCATGTAGGACCAAGCTCCTCCCTCTGCATTAAGGCTGGGCTAGGTAATCCAGCATGGAACAGGTTCCAAAAGTCATCTAAGTGCTAGGAACAGGTCTTGATCTCACTGCTAGGAGCCTTGCAAATAGATCAAACTACACACATGCAGAGGGCCTAGGTCGGTCCTATGCAGGCTCCAGAGTCCATGAGCTCCCATGAGCTGAGTTCAACTGTCTCTGTAGGTTCCCCCATCAGGACCCTGACCCCATGGCTCATACAATCATTCCTCCCTTTCTTCAGGAGAACTTCCAGAGTTCAGTTCAGAGCTTGGCTGTGGATCTCTGCTTGTGCTTCCATCAGTTACTGGATGAAGGCTCTCTGATGACAGTGAGGGTAGTCACCAATCTGATTACAGTAGATGGTCAGTTCAGGCACCCTTTCCACTATTGCTAGGAGCCTTAGCTGGGGACAAGCAGGTTGTTTTTAAATTCACAAAGATCTACCTCCCTCCACCTCCTGAGTGCTAGGATTAAAGGCACATGCTACAATGACCAGCTAATAGAACCTTTTCACTTCCAGGTGTTTACAATGAGAAGCCATTCCTTACTGCTGATCCAGGACCTCAGGGAATCTCAGAAAGAAATGTGACTCTCCTCTGTCACACACATCCTTCCCTTGACATCTTCATCCTCTGCAGAGGTGGAAATGCCTCCTTTCCCCAGGGCTGCTCACGTCAGGACCACGGCACATTCCTCATCTCCCCTGGGAGCCCAGGGCACAGGAGGACCTACAGATGCTTTGGCTCTCACAAACACAGTTCCTACTTGTGGTCACTGCCTAGTGATCCCCTGGAGCTCTCAATCACAGGTGAGTACATGTCTTATACTAGCTCATTAGGTCTATGTCAGAGAAGCCTCAAAATGTGTCAAGTGGGATACACCAAATCCACTGTGTTTCAACTGTGTTTTGATGCACACTACACCACTGCCCTGTCTCGAGTCACTTTTTTTTTTCATTCTAGAATCTAAACATTATCTGCTAATTGTGTGAAATTAGGGCATATGCAGGAATGTTCTTTTGGAGAAGAGATGTCATTAACCAACATAATATGTGGCATTTCACACAGTTATTGGCCATGTACTCTAATGTAGTGTATACACTTGCACACAGAGAAACACATATACCCCTTGTTAGCTAATCGTGATAGAAAATTTGAAAGGTTCTATGCTAGTTTCTTTATGCAGGAAGACTTGAATCTTTGTCTTATATCATATTTTGTGAGCTCAGTGCTGCACCTGAATAGCCATCACCCTAGAGGAGAAGGTATAAAGACATTTGCAGAACAGAACAAAGGGAATTTGAATCAGGACTTTGTAAGATTATGTAGGAAGAGGGCAGATCCAGCCTCCATGACAGAAAAGATTCAGTTCTGTATCCTTAGCTCCTGCAGTTATTTGGATGTTTCAGAGTTTCAATGGAGTTGACATCTTGTAGGTGTGAAGACTAGGGGCATAGAGACGTTTTCAAAGAACTATGGGTAAAGGAAGGAAGGGTGAACCCGAGGAGGCAGAAAAAAGAACTATCACATGAAAGATGGAGTTGGACTTGTTGGATAAAGAAGGGGTTTGATGTAGCTGGGCATGGGATGAGAATGGGAAATGAAATATGAAAAGAACAAAAACACATTGAAAAAGATATACATATGGACTTTCCAAGGATAAAATATTTAAGCCAAACTAAAACTGATAGCATGCTTCCTTTACTCAAGTACATAACCTTGCTTGCACTAAGTCAGACAGCTAAATGCAACAACAGAACACTGAATATGAATGTTCCAGGAGGAGCTAAGAAAGGGAAAGTGTGTGGTGAGCTTGTGTGTAAACAGTCATCAGTGGGAGGAGTGGCTGCTGTTTGCACTAGTTAGCTGGTACAACTTGACATAGCCTGAGTCATCTGAGAGGAAATACCTGAGTAAGGAATTGTCTAGATTAGATTGGCTTGTAGGTAAGTTTGTGTGGTAGTTTTTTTTTTAAAATAATTAGCTGATATATGAGAGCCCAGCCTAATGCCCTAAGTGGAAGTTCTTCTGTATATGTGTTGCTTTTATTAGTTAATGAATAAAGAATCTGCCTTGGCCTGCAGTAGTGTAGAGTAGAGCGGGGAAAACTAAATTGAGTGTTGGGAGAAAGAGGGCAGAGTAAGAAGAAGCCACGTAGCCCCACCAGAGATAGACACCGGATGGAACCTTGCCAGTAAGTCACAGTCACGTGACGATATGCAGATTAATAGAAATGGGTTAAATTAAGATGTAAGTGCTAGCTGATAAGAAGCTAGAGCTAATAGGCCAAGCAGTGATTTAAATACTATAGTTTCTGAGTGATTATTTCTGGTCTGGGCAGTTGGGAACAAACGAACAGCCTCAGTCCATTAATTAGGAGGTGGCAGGATGTCCATGAATGTTAGAGGGACAATGGGAGAAAAGGAAATGAGGGAAGGCTCCCTGTCATGGTGGCTTCTTATTCTCTGAAGGTATTGGGAAAAGAGAGGGTGGGGAAGGCATATGTGGGTATCCAAACAGGATGGAAGGGCAAAGAGAGGACCCAGGGGCTCTATAAAATACTCAAGCCAGTGTCCACTTAAGGGACTTCCAGCATTAGACTTCCCTTATCCAGAACGTGTAAACCTGTTAATTTCTTTTTCTCTGAGGCTTGATCTTCTGTCTTTCTCTGTCATTCAATATTTTTTTAGAGACACAACCTCACTGTGTTGTATTGGCTGTTCTTGAACTTTGTAAGTAGACTAGACTGGCCTCAAAATTACAGAGATGCATGTGCCTCTGCTTCCTAAGTGCTAGGATTAAAAGTGTAGGCATTGCTGTTCCTGGCTGTCATTCATTTTTTTGTTCGTGTCATTGAATGAGTTGAGCAGTCTCCTATATGACTGCCAATACCTCTGTTAACACTAGCTGAGGAAGACTCCAGTGTTAGGGAGGCAGCAAACAGTATCCATACATGGTTTCAGCTTCAGATTCCTGCTTGTGTTTCTGACCAGTCTCCCTCAATGACAGAGTGTGACCTAGAAGTCTAAGATAAATCAAGCACTTTATTACAGCATCAAAAAGAAACAGTGGTATCCATAATTAGACGTCTGCCCAGATAAATTATTTTCTGATGGCCATTAATTTTACTCCTACAGTCAAAAGCACCTGAATGAGCCTGGGTTGTGTAACTAATGGAGTATTTGACATCATTCAGCCTAGACGTCTGGTATCATCTCAACAGAGCTCCTAGCTGGCTAATATCCAAGCATCCTCTTGACCTCAGGTTCTGGTTGCAGGAGATTTCATATATTATGTATTAGTTCTCTTTTGCATTGTTTCCACATGGTTCTTCACCACATCCCATCTTTTCTTTTCTTAAAACACTCCTCAGACCACTTCCCTTTTCCCCCATCCTGCCAACATCACCTTTCTCCAACCATCATGGTCACTAGTTATCTCCCCAATTTCTTCTTGCCTCTCACGTCCATTTATCACACAACAAGTTCAGGTAAAACTTGATTATTTTTTTGGATTATAATACAATTGCAACATTCTTTCTTACCTTTCTTCCCTCCAAACCCTCCTACATCTGCCCCTTTTCAAAATCATGGCCTCTATCTTCACCAATTTTTATTTTGTTTATATATATGCCTAAACATAAGCACTAAGTCTGTATAATGTTACTTGTATATATGCTTTCACTGTTGATCTCTGACTCTGAACAATCAGCTGATGTCCTCTTCCCTCTGAAATAACCACCCGTCTTGCTCTGTTTCGTGTAGTTGTCTATAGTTCATTGTCTGCACATAAAACTTTAGTGTATATTCATTGTCAAAAGTGTTGTTTTTCTTTAAGCATATCCTGAAATTTGACTTGTATTTAACCCATGCTCTTATGTTCATGTCATGTGTGATAAGGCTGGCGGGAAAAGAAAGTAAGCTGAAAGATGGTAAAAAGGGGTATATACTGCCACTTTTGGACATGATATACCCATTCCATTATGAACTCAGTGAAACTGCACTTGCCACTGGGGCTGCCTCATATTGAGCTTGTCAACAGTCAAGTAAAGAGAAAGACTAAAGAGTTGCTGACACCCTCCTGTTGAACTAATCACCACTGACAGCTTCTGGAAATTGAGGCATCACTGGCATTGACTGTGTAACCATTTGTGAGCCTACTAGATGTCCATGGAAAGTTGCGCACCGATGATCACACAGATGACTCTGGTTAAACACATTGGATCAAAACTAAAGAACGTCAAACACATGACTATATAAAAGGGACGAATGGAGAAAATGAGGGTGTGTAGAGGCAGGATGGAGATAGGAAAGTTTAGGAAGCCAGAGTAATCAGAATACATTGTTCAAGCATGAAGTACAGAGAGACATCTAGTATTGATCAAACCAATTAGATTATTGCTATTTGCATTGTGAAATTGAAGCTCAGAGACATATCAGCACAAGTGTGAACTTTCACTTTGCAAATACAAACTGGATTCTAAGTAGTTAATGACTTAAGTGGCAACACAGATTCTAGTGAATATACTAGAACTAGAAAAGCCACAAAGACATTATCATAGCACCGATTCAAATCTAGATAGTCTGTAATGATTTTGGTATAGTTTCAACATGTATTTCCTTTTGTTCTTTGTCATGAAGAAATATCATTTCTTGAGTCTGACATTGTAGAAAGTGCAGTGGCTAAATTTTGTAATCTAATTTGCCCCTGCTTCGTCCAACCAAAACACTTCCTTAGTTGTCCATACAGTTCTGTGTATCTGGCAGAAGTGGTCTTTCTATAACTCATGTAGAGACAGATTTCATTCTAAGACTAAATGTAGTGGTTATTAGAGAAAAAACAGTCACAAATAAATTTATATTGTTGAAAAATTTTTAAATTCTTTTTTCTCCACAGAATCTTCTACATTAGATTGCAGATTAGAGAATCACATCCGGCTCATCCTGGCTATCGTCATCCTGTTATGTCTTGGGTCTCTATTGCTGGATGCTTGCAACAGCAGAGGGAGCCCATGATGCCTTCAGAGAGTCCTAACCTGAGTGCCTAGCTACCCCTTCCTACACCTCATCAATGTTGGGAGGAGGGAGCCGCTTGTTGGTTCCCAGCCGCTTAGTCCTGAAATAATCACACAGAAACTGTATTAATTAAATCACTGCTTGGCCCATTAGCTCTAGCTTCTTATTGTCTAATTCTTATATATTAATTTAACCCATTTCTATTAATCTGTGTATGGCCATGTGGCTGTGGCTTACCGGCTAAAGTTCTGGCGTCTGTCTCCGGCGGGGCTACATGGCATCACTCAGACTCAACCCTTCTTTCTCCCAGTATTCTGTTTAGTTTTCCCCACCTACCTCTGTTCTCCTATAGCTTTGCTCTAGGCATAGAGCAGTTCTTTTATTAACCAATGACATTCACAGCATACAGAGGGGAATCCCACAACACATCAAAATGCTGGCAATAAAGAGTCTAAAAGGAGTTGTAATTTCTCTGCTAAATATTCAGTGTCTGGAGATGTGGTACAATACCTGTGATATGACTGGAATGTCATAATTCTTTGTGTGGTGTTTGTAGGAGAGATCCCCCAAGAAGCAGATTCCCATTTCTTGCTTTGGTCTCCTGTGGGACATCTTTGTGTAGTGCCCATCCCTCATTTCTCATTTCTCTGCATATAATTATCTTCCTCTTCATTCTCTGTTATCCTGTGGATATGCTACTTTGGAATGTGAGTGAATACATTGTTGACATCAGCATAGCCATGCCATAAATGCCAAATCTCTATACACTTGGGAATGCCAAAGCCTTCACTGGTCCTTGTGTAGATGTTGATAGTGAGTGCAGTAAGTACCATTTGCAACTTCCTCATCCATGTTGACTGCAGCCTTAGACTGCTGTCCTCCAGAGACTACCTATGAATTGAGCTAATCCACACCCATCATTCCTGCCATATATAACATCAGCAAGTCAATGAGTTCCCAATTAGCCGGTGCACCTCCAACAGAGTGAGTACTGTCCACCTGACTGACCCCAGCTTGGCTTGTTTCATTTAGTCTTTCCTTCTTTATCTCTTTGCGCCCCCAGTCAGAATCTTAAAGGCAGGTGCATGTGCTGCATCTCTACCCCATCTCATGCTAGGAGTTCCCCACTCTGTCATGTTCTCTCACTATGCTCTTCCACCACCGCCCCTGTGAACAACATCCATCCTTCAGTGTGAGTTTCCTTGTCAAGCACAGCACATATAATTTATATTTAGATTTATTTTTTCTTTCTTTTATTTATTTTTAAAAAGAAAACAAACTATCTTTTTTTTTAATTATACATACAAATCCAAGTTCCCACTCCCTCTGTCCTCCCGTACCCTTCACATATCCTCCCAACCCACCTCCATCCAATCCTCAGAGAGGGTAAGGCACATTGCTCTGGGGAAGGTCCAAGCCCCTACCTACTATGTCTAGGCTGAGCAAGGTATCCATTCAAAGAGAATAGGTTTCCCCAAAACCAGTACATGCAGTAGGGATAAATCCTGGTACCACTGCCATTGTCCCCTCTGTCTTCCCCAGCCATGCAACTGTCAACCACATTCAGTGGGACTAGCTTGGTCCTATGCTTGTTACTTCCCAGTCCGGCTGGTGTTTGTGAGCTCCCATTAGCTCAGGTAGACTATATCAGGTGTACCCATCATTGTCTTGACCTTTTTGCTTGTATTCTCATTCCTCCCACTCTTCAACTGTACTTTGGGAGCTCAGTTCAGTGCTCTGATGTGGGTCTCTGCCTCTGTTCCCATCAGTTGCTGGATGAAGGTTCTATGGTGATATTTAAGATATTCATCAGTCTGATTACAGGGCAAGGCAAGATCAGGGGCCCTCTCCTCTATTGCTTAGGATCTTAGGTGGAGTCATCCTGAGGATTCCTGGGAATTTCTCCAGAGCTACGTTTATTACTAACCCTATAATGACTCCACCAATCAAGATATCTCTTTCCTTGCTCTCATCACTCTAATTTCTGTCGTTCCTCCTCCTTGACTATCCCATTCCCTCAAGTTCTCCTCACCCCCCCTTCTCCTGTCCTCTTCCCCTTTCACGCTCTGTTCTCCCTGACCCCAATGCTCCCAATTTTGTCAGACAATATTGTCTGTTTCGACGTTCCAGGTGGATCTATATATGCTTTTCTTAGGCTTCACCTTATTACTTTGCTTCTCTATGATCAAAAACTATAGGCCCAGTATTCTTTGTTTATAGCTAGTGTCCACTTATGAGTTAGTACATACCATATTCATCTTTTGGGTCTGGGTTACCTCACTCAGGTCAGTGTTTTCTAAGTCCATCCATTTGCATGCAAAATTCAAGGTGTCATTGTTTTTTACAGCTGGGTAGTACTCTAATGTGTAAATGTGCCACATTTTCTTTATCCATTCTTTGGTTGAGGAACATCTAGATTGTTTCCAGGTCCTGGCTATTACAAATAATGTTGCTATGAACATAGTTGAGCAAATGCCTTTGTAGTATAATTGAGCATATTTTTGGTATATGCTCAAGAGTGGTATTCCTGAAACCTGATGTAGGTTCATTCTCAATTTTCTGAGAAACCGCCATATTGATTTCCAAAGTGGCTGTACAAGTTTGCATTTCTACCAGCAATGGATTAGTGTTCTGCTTACTCCACATCCTCTCCAGCAAAAGCTATCATTTGTGTTTTTGATCTTAGCCATTCTTACAGGTGTAAGATGGTATCTCAGAGTTGTTTTGATTTTCATTTTCCTGATGACTAAGGATGTTGAACATTTCCCTAAGTATCTTTTAGGCAATTTGAAATTCTTCTGCTGAGAATCCTCTGTTTAGTTCTGTATTCCGTTCTTAAATTGGGTTATTTAGATTTTTGGTATCTCATTTATTGTTATTTTTTTATTAGATTTTTTTAAAAAAATACCAATCCAAATTCCCACTCTCTCCCACCCCAGGCCCCTCTAATCCTAAGAGAGGGTAAGTCACGTTGCTTGGTAGAAAGTCCAATGGCCTCCCTAATATATCTACGTTGAATAAGGCATACATTCAAAGAGAATAGGATCCCAAGAAGCAAGTACATGCAGTAGAGACAAATACCAGTGTTAATGCCAGTGGCCTCTCAGACTGCCTCAGCCACACAACTGTCAGCCACATTCAGAGTGACTAGTTTTGTCCTATGTTTGTTTCTTCCCAGCCCAGCTGGAGTTGGTGAGCTCCTATTAGCTCAGGTAAATTGTTTCAGTTGGTGAACCCTTCATGGTCTTGACCTCTTTGTTCATATTCTCATTCCTTCTACTCTTCAACTGGACTTTGGGAGCTCAATTCAGTGCTCCGATGTGAGACTCTGCCTCTGTTTCCATCTGTTGTTGGATGAAGGTTCAATAATGATATTTAAGATAATCATCAGTCTTACTACAGGGCAAGGCCAGTTTAGGCACCTTCTCCTCTATTGCTTAGGGCCTTATCTGGGGTCATCATTGTGTATTCCTGATAATTTTTTTAGAGCCAGTTTTCTTGCTAGCCCCATAATGGCTCCCTAAATCAAGATATCTCTTTCGTTGCTCTCATATCTGTTCTTCCTCCATCTTAACTATCCCATTCTCTCAAGTTCTCCTCAACCCTCCCCGTCTCCCATTCTTTCTATCCCCAACCCTATTCTCCCAATTTTATTAGGTGATCTTGTCTGTTTTCCATTTCAGGGTGGGTCTATATATATATTTTAAAAGATTTATTTATTTATCATGTATACAACATTCCTTCTATGTATACTTGCATGCCAGAAGAGGGCACCAGATCTCATTATAGATGGCTGTGAGCCACCATGTGGTTGCTGGGAATTGAACTCAGGACTTCTGGAAGAACAGTCAGTGCTCTTAACCTTTGAACCATCTCTCCAGCCCCTATATCTTTTTCTTTTGGTTCATCTTATTACTTACCTTCTCTAGGATCAAGAACAATAGGCTCAATGTCCTTTATTTATGGCTAGTATCCACTTATGAGTGAGTACATACCATATTCATCTTTTTTTGGGTCTGGCATACCTCACTGAGGGTAGTGTTTTCTAATTCCATTCATTTGCATGCAAAATTCAAGATGTTTTTCTTTTTTTTTTACCACTGAGTAGTACTCTGATGTGTAAATGTCCCACACTTTCTTTATCCATTCTTCTGTTGAGGGCATCTAAGTTGTTTCCAGATTCTGGCTATTATAAATAGTGCTGCCATAAACATAGTTGAATAAATCTTTTGTAGTATGATTGGGCATCTTTTGGGTATATTTCCAAGAGTGGTAATGCTGGATCCTGAGGTAGGTTAACTTGCAATTTTCTGAGAAACCACCACCCTGATTTCCAAAGTGGTTGCACAAGTTTTCATTCCCATCAACAATGGATGAATGTTCCCCTTACTCCACATCCTCTCCAGCATAAGCAATCATTAGTGTTTTTGATTTTAGCCATTCTGACAGGTGTAATATGGTATCTCAGAGTTGTTTTGATTTGCATTTCCCTGATCACTAAGGAAGTTGAACATGTCCTTAAGTATCTTTTGGCCATTTGAAATTCTTCTGTTGAGAATTCTCCATTTAGTTCAGCACTCCATCTTTATATTGGATTATTTAGAATTCTAATGTCTAGTTTCTTGAGTTCTTTATATATTTTGGAGATCAGTTCTTTGTCTGATGTGGGGTTGATAAAGATCTTTTCCCAATCAGTCGGCTGTCTTTTTGTCTTATTGACTGTATCCATTGTTTTACAGAAAGCTTCTCAGTTTCAGGAAGTCCCATTTATTCACTGTTGCTCTTATTATCTGTGCTACTGGTGTTATATTTAGGGGGTGGTCTCCTGTGCCCATGTATTGAAGGCTACTTTCAACTTTCTCTTCTATCAGGTTCAGTGTGGTCAGATTTATATTGAGGTCTTTAATCCATTTTGACTTGAGTTTTGTGCATGGTGTTAGATATGGATCTATTTTCGTTCTTCTACAGGTTGACATCCAGTTATGCCAGCACCATTTGTTAAAGATGCTTTCTTTCTTCCATTGTATAATTTTAGCTTCTGTCAAAAATCAGGTGTTCATAGGTATGTGGATTAATATCCAGGTCTTTAATTAGATTCCATTGGTCAATGTCTCTGTTTTTATGCCAATGCCAAGCTGTGTTCATTACTGTAGCTCTGTAATAGAGTTTGATTTCAGGGATGGTAATGCCTCCGGAAGTTTCTTCATTATATAGGACTATTTTGGCTATCCTAAGTTTTTTGTTTTTTCATATAAAGTTAATTATTGTTCTCTCAAGGTCTGTTGTTCTTAAGATGTAGTTCTTAACTACTGCTCCAAAGTCTCCCAGTGTACTACTATGCTTCCCTGTCATCAAGATCAAGAACTAAACCTCTAAAGTGGTAAGTCCCCAATTAAATACACCCTCCCACAAGAGTTCCTTTGGTCATTATGTCCCTTCATGAGAACACAACAGTGATGACGACAGATTTCTATGCATAGTAGAATTTAGTTCACCAGTGAAGGAAGATGTAGCTTTTAGGTAAATAGATGGAGGTGGAAAACATCATACTGAGTGAGATAATCCAGACCCAGAAAGATAAATGTAGCATGTTCTCATTCATATGTGGATCTCAGTGTTGATTCTTCCTTTGTGTCTTTAAAGTCCAAAAAGCAAACCAAACAAACAAACTAAAAAATCAGAAAAGTACAAAGGCAGAGTTGGTAGAGTGGGGGAAGAAAGATCTTAAGGCAGTTGATATTAAAGGGAAAAGGGAGTAATGGGGAAGGAGGTTTAATCAGGAAGAGGGCGGGATTATAGGGCAGAAGAAGGGGAGCTAAAAATAAAGATGTGTGAAAAACCACATGGAAACCTACTTCTTTATAAGCTTCTATATATTTTATATATGTAAGTATGTGTGTACATGATTATGCATATACTTGTACATATATTCATGTAAAAGAATTTAACTGAAGTTAGTCTACACAGGGAATTATACTCCTCTAGTAGGAATTAAATGTGACCAAAATGCATTGCATGTAATGTTCAAGGATCTTAGGGGAGGGAGAAATAGACAGGATAATGGAGCATATATACTAGGATGGCAGTGGGGGTAGGAAGAAAAGCTAGAGGAGCGTGGAGGTACAGGAAAGGCACTAGAGAAAGGGATGAGTCTAAAGTCTAATGTCACCAATGTAGAAAAATATCACAACTGAACATATTGCTGATCAAAAACTAAAGCTAAACAAAGAAGACAGGTGCTGTGCTTGACAAGGAAATTCACACTGGAGGATGGATATTGCTCACACGGTCAGTGGTAGAGGAGCATAGTGAGAGATCAAGACAGAGTAGGGGACTCCTAACGTGAGATGGGGTGGAGATGCAGCACATACAGTTGAGTTTGAGAATCTGACTGGGGGCAAAAAGAAATGAAGAACGAAAGACTCAAAAGAAGCAAGTGAAGATGGGATAAGGTGGACAATACACTCTCTGTTGGAGATATACAAGCTAACTGGGAACTCATTGAGTTGCTGATGTTATATACATAGGAATGAGGGGGGTAGGTTAGCTTGTATCCTAAGGAGTCTCCATAGAACAGTCTAGGGCTGCAGTCAGCATGGATAAGGAAGCTACAAATGGTACTTACTACACTCACTCTCAACATCTACACAAGAACCAGGGGAGGCTTTGGCATTCTCAAGTGTCTAGGGGACTGGCACCAGTGGCATGGCTATGCTCATGTTAATGATGCATATTCAATTATATTCCAAAATAGGATGCCCACAGGGCATTAGAAAACAAAGATGAAAGCAATCGTATGCACAGAAAAAAGAAAAGAGGAATGGGCGCTACACAAAGATGATAGATCAGAAAAACAGGAATCTGCTAAAAGGGGAATCTCTGCTATAAAACCATAAAAAGAATTCTGAAATTCCAGTCACATCGCAAGTATTGTACCACAAATCCAGAGAGATCACAATTTCTTTTAGACCCTTTATTGCCAGTATTTTGTTGAGGTGTGGAAAGGGGAAGCTAGGCTTTTAGTTTAGGACTCTCTAAAGGCCCCATGGGCTCTTTTCTGCTCTTCCAAGCATCCAACAATAAAGCCCCAAGTCCTAACAGGAGGATGACAGCCATGAAAAGTCGAATGCAATTCTCTAATCTGTAATCTGAAGTAGAAGACTCTGTGGAGGAAAAGTAAAGCAAAATTTAAAGTTTTTTAAACAATAAATATCACTTATTTTTGGCTGTTTTTTCTATAATGACTTCTACATTGGTCTTAGAACACAAATACATCCCTACATGAGTTATAGAAAGAGCACTTCTGCCAAATATACAGAAATATATAGACAGCTTAGCTTTTTGGTTGAATGAGCTAGGGAAAGTCAGATTACAAAATGCAGCTACTGCACTTTCTACAATGTAAGACTCATGCAAGGATCATATTTCTTCGGAACAAAGCACAAAAAGAGATGGAGGTTGAACCTGTACCAAAATCATTACAGACGATCTAAAGAGAATTGGTGCTGATTACTAGGATAATGTCATCTCTGGTTCAAGTATATTCACTAGAGTTTGTGGTGCAACCCCAGTCATTAACTACTTAGGTCTCAGTTTGTATTTGCAAAGTGAATGTTCATACTTGTGCTATAGTTCTTAGAGAACACATCTGTGTCCCTAGTCTCCATATTTAGAATATGTCACCTCCACTGAAACTCTGAAACATTCCAACTCACTGGATGAGCTAAGGATACAGAACTGAATCTTTTCCATCATGAAGACTGAATCTGCTCTCTTCCTACATAAACCCAAAAATCCTGAGTAAAATTCCTCTTGTTCTCTTTGGCAAATGTTTTTACCCTTCTTCATGAGTATAATGCCTATTTGTATGCAGCATTGTGCTAAAAAATATGGCATGAGACAAAAATTCAAGTCTTTCTGAGTGAAGAAACTAGCACAGGCACTTTCAAATTCTCTATCACTATTAGCTAGCAAGTGTGTGTGTGTGTTTCTGTGTGTGGCTTACAAAGCCAATAACGTGTGGGAATAGCACATATCATGATGGTTAATGATGTCTCTGATCCAGAGGAATACACCTCCGTATACCCTAATTTCACATGATTGGCGGATAATCTTCAGATTCCAGAATGCAGATGAAGTGATTCCATACAGGCACTGTGCAATATCCATTACACAGCTGAAAACCAGCGGAATTGCTGAGTCCTGCTTGCTACATCTTGAGGCCTCTATAATTACAAACTTAAAGAGCTAGTGTAAGATATGCAGTCACCTGTGGTTGACAGCACAAGGGGATCACTAGGCAGTGACCACAAGTAGGAATTGCGTTTGTAAGAGCCAAAGCATATGTACATCCTCTTGTGACCTGGGCTCACAGGGGAGATAAGAAATGTGTTATGGTCCTGATGTGAGCAGTTTCTGGGCAAGGAAGCATTTCCACCTCTGCAGAGGATGAAGATGTCAAAGGAATGATGCGTGTGACAGAGAAGAGTCATTTTTCTTTCTGAGGATCCCTTTGGTCTTGAATCAATAGTAAGGGATGGTTTGATCTTATAAACACCTGGAAGAGAAAAGACCTTGTAATTATCTGGTCACGGTGACACTCGTAATCAGAGGGCAGTGGATCTCTGTTAGTTTAAGACCATTCTTATCACTGGCTGGTGGTGGCACACACCTTTTTAAATTATTAATATTATTGTTTATTTTTTTAAAAAGAAAAAACTATAATTTTTCATTTTACATTCCAATCCCAGTTTTGACTCTCTCTTTTCCTCCCATTCCCTTCAACTTAATCCCCACCGCAACCCCCATCCAATCCTCAGAGCAGTTAAGTCACATTGCTGTGAGGAAAGAAAGACCCTCCCCACTATATCCAGGCTGAGCAAGGTATCCATTCAAAGAGAATGGGTTTGAAAAAGCCAGTACAAGCAGCAGGGACAAATTGTGGTGCCACTGCCAGTGGCCCCAGAGTCTGCCCCAGTCATACAACTGTCACCCCAATTAAGAGGATCTGGCTTGGTCCTATGCTGGTTCCTTTCCTGTCCTGACAGAGTTGGTGAGCTTCTTTTAGCTCAGGTAAACTGTTTCAGTGGGTGTCCCTATCATGATCCTGACCTCTTTGCTCATATTTTCATTTCTCCCACTCTTCAACTGGACTTTGGGAACTCAGCCAAGTGCTCCACTGCAGGTCTCTGACCCTGACTCCACCAGTTGCTGGATAAAGGTTCTTTGGCGATGCTTAAGGGCAAGGCCAGTTCAGGTACCCTCTCTACTATTGCATAGGGTCCTGGCTGGGGTTATCCTTATGGATTTCTGGAAATTTTTCTAGTGCTAGGTTTCTTGTTAGCCACATAATGGCTCCATAAATCAAAATATCTCATTCCTTGCTCTATGTCTCTGTCCCTGCCCCATTTCAACTATCTTCTTTCTTCAAGATCTCTTCCCATCCAATTAAAAAATGGGCACCCTCTTCTCTGCTGGAGTGGGAGGGAAATGGGAGAATAGGGGGACGTGGAAATTTTAAATAAATAAATAAATAAATTAAAAAAAATGGGGCACTGAACTGAACATAGAATTCTCAACAAAAGAAGTTCAAATGGGCAAGAGACACTTATGGTCATGTTCAACCTCCTTAGCAATCAGGGAAATGCAAATCAAAACAACTTTGAGATACCATCTTACACCTGTCAGAATGGCTAAAATCGAAAACACCAATGACAGCCTTTGCTGGAGAGGATGTGGAGTAACGGGAACACTCATCCATTGCTGGTGGGAATGCAAACTTGTGCAACCACTGTGGAAATCAGTGTGGTCGTTTCTCAGGAAATTAGGAGTCAACCTACCTCAGGATCAGGCACTATCACTCTTGGGGATATTCCCAAGAGATGCCCAATCACACTACAAAAGCCTTTGTTCAACTATGTTCATAGCAGCATTATTTGTAATAGCCAGAACTTGGACACAACATAGATGCCCCTCAACTGAAGAATGGATAAAGAAAGTGTGGAATATATACACATTAGAGTACTAGTAAGCGGTAAAAAATAATGACATCTTGAATTTTGCATGCAAATGGATGGAAATAGAAAACACTATCCTGAGTGAGATAACCCAGACCCAAAAAGATGATTATGGTATGTACTCACTCATTTGTGGACTTTAGCCATAAACCAAGGTCATTAAGCCTATATATTTCACAAGCCCAGAGAAGCCAAATAGCTAGGTGAACCCAAAGAAAAACATATATAGATCCTCTTGGAAATTGGAAGCAAACAAGATTGCAGGGCAAAAGCTGTGAGCATGGGGGTGGGTGCACTGGTGGGAGTGAGTTTGGGGGAAGGGGAGAGGGGGAGAGGGAAGAGAGAAGGGAAGGACTGGCAACAGTTTGGGGGAGTGGGAGGGTGGAGATGGAGGAAGGGCAGATATAGGAGCAGGGAAAAAGATACCTACATTAAGGGATCCATTTTAGGGTTGGCAAGAGACTTGGCTCTAGAGGGGATCCCAGGTTTCCACGGGGATGCCCCCAGCTAGGTCCTTGGGCAGCAGAGGAGAGGGTGCCTGAACTGTCCTTGCCCCACTATCACGCTGATGATTATCTCGAATGTCACCATAGAATCTTCATCCGGCGATGGATGGAGATAGAGATAGAGACCCTCATCAGAGCAACGGACTGAGCTCCCAAGGTCCAGTTGAAAGGCAGAAGGAGGGAGAAGATGAGCAAGGAAGTCAGGACCGCGAGGGGTTGGTCCACCCACTGAGACAGTGTGCCTGTTGTAATGGGAGCTCACCAAATCCAGCGGGACCGGGTCTGAATGAGCATGTGTTCAAATCGGACTCTCTGATTGTAGCTGACAGTGGGGGCTGACTGAGAAACCATTGATAAAAGCACTGGGACTTGTTTTTACGGCATGTTCTGGCTTTTTGGGACCCTAGTCTATATGGATGCACATCTCCCTAGACCTGGATGTAGGGTGGAGGGCCTTGGACTTCCCACAGGGCAGGGTTCCCTGGCCTCTCTCAAGCAGGGTGGAAGAGGGAGGAAGGGGTGTGAAAGAGCGGGAGGGGATTGGGAGGAGGGAAGGAAGTGTAAATAATCAAATGGAAAAATAAGTAATAAAAAGAAAGGTTGATAGGAAACACAAGAGATTATTCATTAAACTTGGTAACCGCTGATTTGTAAAAAAAAAAATAAATAAAAAGAACTCTCTTCTCCCCTCCCCTTCTCCCCTACCACCTTCCCTTTTCCCCCACACCCCCATGCTCCCAATTTTTCAGGAAATCTTGTCTATTTCCCCATCCCAGGGGGATCTCTCTATATATTTCTCTTAAGGTTCATTTTGTTGCTTAGCTTCTTTAGGGTCATGAACTGTAGGCTCATTATTTTTGTTTAACAGCTAGTATCCACTTATGGACGAGTAATTACCATGCTCTTCTTTCTGGGTCTAGGTTACCTCACTCAGGATGGTTTTCTCTAGTTCCATCTATTTGTATGCAAATTTCAAAATGTCATTGTTTTTTACTGATGAGTAGCACTCCATTGTGTAAATGTACCATATTTTCTTTATCCATTCTTCGGTTGAAGGGCATCTAGTTTGTACACAGGTTGTGAATATCACAAATAATGCTGCTACAGACATAGTTGAATGAATGTCCTTGTAGTATGGTTGAGCATCCTTTGATTACATGCCCAAGAGTGGTATTGCTGGGTCTTAAGGTAGGTTGATTCCCAATTTTCTGAAAAACCACCATACTGAATTCCAGAGTGGTTCTACAAGTTTTTATTTCCACTAGCAATGGAGGGGTATTCCCCTTATTCTGCATCCTCTCCAGTATAAGCTATAATTGGTGTTTTTAATCTTAGCCATTTTGACTGGTGTAAGATTACCATCTCAGAGTCATTTTGATTTGCATTTCCCTGATGGCTAAAGATGTTGTACATTTTCTTAAGTGTCTTTTGACTGTTTGAGATTTGTCTGTTGAGAATTCTCTGCTTAAATCTGTACTCTATTTTTAAATTGAATTGTTTGGAATTTTGATGTCTAATTTCTTGAGTTCTTTATATATTTTGGAGGTCAGTCCTCTGTCTGATGTGGGGTTGGTGAAGATCTTTTCCCATTGAGTAGGCTGCGTTTTTGGCTTATTGACTGTGTCCTTTGCTCTATAGAAATTTCTCAGTTTCTGGAATTTCCATTTATTGTTTCTATCAGTGGCTGTGCTACTGGGGTTATATTTAGGAAGAGGTCTTCTGTGCCCATGCAATGAAGGCTACTTTCCACTTTCTCTTCTATCAGGCTCAGTATGGTCAGATTTATATTGAGGTTTAATCCATTTGGACTTGAATTTTATACTTGGGGACAGATATGGATCTATTTTCATTCTACATGTTGACATCCAGTTTTGCCAGCACCATTTGTTGAAGATGTTTTCTTTTTTTCACTGTATAATTTCAGCTTCTTTGTCAAAAATCAGGTGCTCATAGGTGTGTAGATTAATATTTAGGTCTTGATTAAATTCCATTAGTCAGTCTGCCTGTTTTTATGCAAATACCGGGTTGTTTTCATTACTGTTGATCTATAATAGAGCTTGATGTCAGGGATGGTAATGCCTCTGAAAGTTCCTTTATTGTATAGGATTGTTTTGTCTTTATTGGATTTTCTGCTTTTCCATATGAAGTTGAGCATTGTTTTTTTCAAGGTCTGTGAAGAATTGTGTTGGGACTTTGATGTGGATTGCATTGAATCTATAGATTGCAATTGGTAGTAGGATTGCTATTTTTTACTATGGCATGGACTCTCCAAGAGCATGGGTGATCTTTCCATTTTCTGGTGTCTTCTTCAAATTCTTTCTTAAAGACTTGAAGTTCTTGTCAGATAGATCTTTCACTTCTTTGGTTAGTGTTTCCCTAAGATATTTTCTGTTATTTGTGCCTATTGTGAAGAGTGATGTTTGTTTGATTTCTTTCTCACCTTCTTTATCATTTGTATATAGTAGGGCTACTGATTTTTTGAGTTGATCTTGTATTCTGGGTAGCTCAACCTTTAATACTAGCACTCAATGGCAGAGGCAGGTGGATCATTGTGAGTTTAAGGCCAGCCTGGTCTACAAGAGCTAGTTTCATGACAGACTCCAAAGCAACACAGAGAAACCCTGTCTTGAAAAATCTCCCCCCCCCACCAAAAAAGAGAATTTTTATCTACATCAAGGTATCTAAGCCAAAGTGTTGTATGAGACCCTGTTTCTCAAAATATCACAGAAAATCCTGTTCTTTAAAATACATTCAGAACCTGACCACCGAGTAGAAAATAAAAAGAAAGGTAGAAATTCATCCATTATTAATTGAAAGGGATTGCCAAGCATGTTTGCATTATTTTTCATGACAAGACCATAGAGAAGCTTTATGTATGTACAGAAGGCTGCTGTCAGCTCCCATGAACTCCATCCCTTCAGGGCTGTAGTCACAATTCTGAAGGGAGCCTTGAACATGGTCAGCACAGAAGTATGGCCACAAACAAAAACAGAAGGTTTGAGGATAAATCTTATTTTGTGGAGTTCTTGCCTAACATACACAGGGCATTGTGTTCTATGCCTATCACCATATGGATAGTGTCATTGTTCATGTCTATAATGACAGTACTTGGAGAGTAGAAGAATAGGGATCAGAAACTCAAGATTATATTAGTATACACAACAATTTTAAAGACAGACTGAGATATTTGAGAACCTGTCTCAAAAATATAAAAAAAATGGAAATTGAAAAGGATAGGATGAGATGAGAGAACAGGAAGATAGGAAAAGAATAGAGAAGAGAGAAGAGGAGAGGAGAGGGAAGAGATCAATATATGTGAGTAGAAATACAGAGCAGGGCTTGGTACGGGGTATATGTGGTTAGGTAGGATCAGAGACTGAATCTGAAGAACAGTGTTTTTGGGCAGTTACTCACCTGTCACCACCAGCTCCAGATGGTCACTGTTTTGTGACCATTCACCTTCCTTGGTGTAGTCACAGTGGTAAGTCCCTGCACTGGTGTGTGTCATATTCTGCAGGCTGAATTCAAACACCTCCTGAACTCCCTGTGGGGCACGATCAAACCACTTTCCATTGAGTACATAATGGGTTAGACGCACATGCGTCACTCCTGGAGGGGTCCTGCAGAAGACCGTCACATCACTGCCTATGGAAATCACAGATCCTGGAACGGCCCAGATGGAAGTCTTGGGTGGTGGCCCTGGAGAGACACAGGAACAGAGCGCCAGTCAACTGATATCAGCAGGGCCAGGATCTCAAGGAGCTATAGAGTAGCTGCCACAATTACTAATTAAGAAAATGCCCCACTGACGAGCCCACAGGCCAATTTGGTCAAGGCAATTCTTTAGTTGATATTACTTCTTCCAGATGATTGTAGCTTGAGTAGAGTTGGAAGAAAATTAACCAGCACACTTCTGTAGTGAAATCTCATCATTTTCAGAATTGAGCTTCTGGCATAGTTCCAAAGGACTAATCATCTTTACTGTTCTCACATGATATAAGAATTACTTTTATACCTTAATGCTATCAGTGACTTCTCCCCTTGTCCTTTATTTATTGTCCTAGCTCAAGAATGAACCCTGTGTTTTGCCTTTCTTATCACCAAACCTTCCCAATTCACTGACCCAATCGACAGAAAATCCCATTAAATCACTGACCTATGTCTGTCATTTGCTTCCATGTAAAATTCAACCACTATGCCCGCCTCCAATATCACACAGAGCCTGGGAGCCTTTGAAAATAAATTAATCACATCTGGGCAACAGGCACATTAGACAGCATTCTCTTTAAGTCTCACTTGAGGATGATGTGTCTTTCCAAGGGCAGAAGTCAGTAAGAAAGCCAGACACAGCCCAGGTGAGATGAGATGGGGGAAAAAGAAAACAAATTGAAAATCAGATATCTGTATTCTCAGGAGGAAACTTGTATGTGCAGGTACTCCCTCCTCTGTGCCATTTATTTCAATATCATTCTGAGACACATATCATGCAGGCATTACCAGAGCACAGTTGAGAATTCTCATCCCAAAGAAGGCTGCTATGTCAGTACTCTAAGTAAGTGGTTGCCAGTGAAAATTCCATCTCAGAATCTGTGAAAGGTGCTTCAAGCTCCTCCTCCAAACATAGTTACCCATGCTAAAACAGAGAACAGACTCACCATGTTGTTCCCAGACCCCCTGTTCCATTAAACACACTGAAATAGAAAAAAAAATACATACCAGGTGAGAGAAGTCTGTCCTTTATACACTGATCCCAACCCCAGAGCTCAGATCAAAAGACCCAGGTTATAAATCTCAGAGTTTGTATTCATTACCACTCTGGCTAAAAATAATGACCCCTATCACACTTACCAAGTCCAAGAAGAGTAGTCCCAAGGACCATGACAGTGCCTCATGCCAGAACTCCACATACACAGCACACAGAACTCCACATACACAGCCCACAGAATTGGTGACAGAGTTCACATAGTGGGGCACACTTGTGGGATAGAGCAGGCTCGAGGCTGGGATGATGACATCCGATACAAAAGAGGAAGAGGATGTACTTGCACAAGTACTGTCTCTGACATCCTTCTACACTACAGCTCTAAGCTGGGCAAAAATTCCTCTATGCACTTACTCTCAGGCTTTAAATTCTCAAAAATGAAATTTAAAGGGCTAGGAGTGATGCTGTTCCCTTGTATCTCCACATCTGATGTAGAAGACTTGTGGCCAATGCTTCAGAGAAAACAGGTTGATCCAACTAGAAAACACAAAGCAAAAATTCATAATCTACCAAAACAATTAGATTCTTCTTGATGGGAGATAGGTAGACACCAAATCTGACAAGATACATGGGAGGGGATGGCCAGTGAAGATGCTGGGAATCAGTGCTTCTGTAGTGTATGGATGGTCTCAGCAAATTCCCTGACAAAATAAACATAGAAAAGTCCCTATATTGACTGAGCAAACAAAAACAAAAAATTAAAAACAGGCTACGGAACTAAACAGAGTTCTCAGAAGAAAAAATGCCAATGACTAATAAATACTTACAAAAGTGTTCACCATCCTGAGCCACCACAGAAATAATTGAAATTAAAACTACTTTGACATTTCATTTTACTATAGTCAGAATAGTTAATTAAGAAAACAAAAGTTGCCATCCAGGCCTCATGAAGCATGCCCTAGGAGAGATGTAGAGGTGGAGGCATAATAGAGATGACAGGTGAGAGAGGACTGAGATCTACATTCTGTCATTGCCCAGTATGGTTGACAGGATGGTATAAAATACTTTGGAGCTTGTGCAGACATAGACTCAGCCCCTGAACCTGACACCCAACCATGGGATGCCCCTGGGTCTGGGCAATAACCCCCTGGCTCTGTAATGATGGAGGCCTGAAAAGAGGAAAGGTCCACTGATGTGGGTTTTCTCTCTGTATGCTGTGATTACCATTAATGAATAAAGAACTGCTTTGAGCCTATAGCAGAGAAGGGTGGGGCAGAGCAGAGTTAGGCGGGGAGGACTAGACTGATTGATGGAAGAAAGAAGGGTAGAATGAGAGAGATGCCATGTAGTCCTGCCGGAGACAGATGCCAGAACTTTAGCTGGTAAGCCACAGCCATGTGGCCATACAAAGATTAATAGAAATGGGTTAAGTTAATATGTAAGAGTTACCAATAAGTAGCTAGAACTAAAGAGCCAAGCAGTGATTTAATTAATATAGTTTCTGTGTGATTATTTCTGGGCTGAGCAGCCAGGACCAACAAGTGCCCTTCCTTCCTACAAATTGGTGTCAACATGGTGGACTAAATCCATGTAAAACATGAGAAGGCTTGAAAAGCAATTCTAGACACACACACACACACACACACACACACACACACACACACACACACAAAAGAGTTTAACACAGCATCTTGCTGTTTGCTGGCAGCATGCTGTGACTCCTTTAAGAGAGGTTTTCCTGATTCAGTGGTAGCAGAAAAAAAGCAATGCCATTTTGAAATGCTGGCTTTTTGGGTTGTGTGCCAGCATGAAGGCTGACTCTTCCTGGAGGTTTGGCTATGGAACACTTGAATGGGGTTTGTGGGCCCAGGTGATTGTATGCTTGCTTGGGGAAGTAGCTGAGACCATGCCTGCAGCTAAGCATTATCTGCCTGGGTGGGTGACAGATTCAGGATTCCTTGGAGTTCATAGGCAGGAGAGCATGGCAGATTCCTGCTGCCACACACAGAGATATTTCCAGGTCGTGCAATGCTTTGCAAGGCATATTTAGCTATTACTCAGATAAAAAGGGTTTATGTGCTGCATGCTCATTCTCAGAATTAAAGTGCTGAGCATGGTTCCTACTTGGCAGTCCCAGAGTTGGCAGTAATGTTATCTCCACCATTTTGAAAGTGGAGAGGGGCAGAGCCAGCATTCAGAGTCACTATAAGCAAGCTCCTTACCATTTTAAAAGCTCTTCAAGACAGGAAAAAACTAGAGATGCATAATAGCACAGATTCAGATACAAAAGACCTCTAAATGGGTCACAGTGTTGGATAAATGTATGTAGGCTTGGGAGAAAAGAGTAAAAGAATACAGACAGTTATAAAAACAAGTAAATGGTTTTTAAAAAGGTAGTTTTTAAAGAGACAGAGAACAGACAGTTTTAGGTTAAAGAAGTAAAAACAATAAAGTAAATAATAAAAAGTAATAGAGTAAGAAAATAAGCCACATAAGGGTGGAAAATACACAGAAAGTCTGGTTTATGTATACTATTGTGTTTTCTTTGAATTTTTTGACTGCAGAGAGACAGTTGATTCTGGCGACTGCTAAGCTAATCCAACATATATATTTTAAAGGTAACTTGAATTCAAAATATAGGTCTAAGGATATGTTGATTTTGAAAAGAGTATCTTCTTTTATTTCCACAGAAGATAAGGACCTGTGGATTTCTTCTAGACTAATATAGTTTGATGGACCAAGACCTCCTGAAAGGTTACCTTGAATACCCCTCAAAAAAAAAATAACTTCACTCCACTGCTGACTGAGATGAACCTAGCACACAGGAAACACCACGAAAGACCCAATTAATAGTGCCCCCAATCAGCAGGAAGTAGTCTAGAGTACTATGCCCAAGTTCCCAAATTTTGTTTATAAATGTTCATTTATATTTAAAGGGGGATATGCTATAGAGATGGATATTTTGCATTGATAAGGATCTTGGTTTATTGATTCAAGTTTGAGGTCAATTCTGTTATATGTATATTTCTGCTCTTGATTAAGGTATTGTGTTTGTCCAGCTCATTTAAAAATGTAATGCATAATTAAAAATATAGGGTGATAGATAGCCATCTATAATAGTGAAACTTGTATTCATGTTAATTAGGTTCTCTTGATATATAAAGATATATTTCAGTTATTTTGAAATTCTTCAAATCTTTCAGAGATCTTCAGAATAAGGCATTTAAAATGTTTTAAGAATTTAGTACTTTTCATGATAGTGAGACACAACTGCTTCAGCCAGCACCAATCTACTTCAAGAGGAAGATGGATGTCAAAGAGGCTCCTTATGGAGTTGATTAGTCATTTGAGTAAGAAACTGTTCTTGCCTGGACTGCTTAATGAACTGTACATGCAGGACCCACAGAGCAATGACTGCTGAACTTGCCTAAAGGTGAGACAATCCTTTGGGATTTCTGCCTCATATGAGAGTCTGCCAGACATTCTGCAGGACACAAAAAATGATGGACAAACTGCCAATTTAGGCAGAGCTGTCTTTGAATTTCGTGCTTCATGGAAAAGTCTGCTGGATACTATGGGCTGAGATGGATGTCCCAATGGTACCGAACTTTGGGTGACTGTTCAGGCAATGAAATGTCTGTCAATTTTAGAGTTTTAGAACTTTCTTACAATGCACTTACTGTTTACTTAGGTAATATTTCATCCTTCTGGAGTCTTTGATGAAGTTGAAGAATAGATAAATAGTTATAGTCATAGTTTTTCTTATTTCTGATAAAAGATAAAGTAGAAATAAATACTGTAACTGTAATTCTTGCTTGATACCTGTTTTGTTATATGTAATTTTACTACGTTAAAATTAAAATCTTTTATTTTTTTAGAATTTATTCAGAAAAGGGGAGGTGATGTGGGATTTCCTCCTGTAAGCTGTGATTACCATTAATAAATAAAGAACTGCTGAGCCTATAGCAGAGTAGGACAGGGTGGAGCAGAGCTAGGTGGGGAGGATTGGACTGAATGGTGGAAGAAAGAAGGACAGAATGAGAAAGACACCATGTAGCCCCATCGAAAATGGGCATCTAGGTTGTTTCCAGGTTCTTGCTATTACAAATAATGCTAATATGAACATAGTTGAACTAATGTTTTTGTAGTATGATTGAACATCTCTTGAGTATATTCCCATGAGTCTTATTGCTGGATCCTGAGGTAGGTTGCCTCCCAATTTTCTGAGAAACTGCCACATTGATTTCCAAAGTGGTTGCACATGTTTGCATTCCCACCAGAAATGGATGAGTGTTCTTCTTACTCCACATCCTCTCCAGCATAAGCTATCATTGGTATTTTTGATTTTAGCCATTCTGACAGGTGTAACAGGAAATCTCAAAGTTGTTTTGATTTGCATTTCCCTGATAGTTAAGAATTTGAACATTTCCTTAAGTATCTTTTGACCATTTGAAATTCTTCTGTTGAGAAATCTCTGTTTAGTTCAGTACACCATTTTTTAATTGGGTTATTTAGAATTTTAATGTCTAATTTCTTGTGTTCTTTATATATTTTGGAGATCAGTCCTTTGTCTGATGCAGGGTTGGTAAAGATCTTCTCCCATTCAGTAGGCTGCCTTTTTGTCTTAATGACTCTGTCCTTTGATTTACACAAGCTTCTCAGTTTCATGAGGTGCCACTTGTTCATTGTTGTTCTTATTGTCTGTACTACTGGGGTTATACTTAGGAAGTGGCCTCCTGTGCCCATGCATTGAAGGCTACTTCCCACTTTCTCTTCTATCAGGCTCAGTTTGGTCAGATTTATATTGAGGTCTTTAATCCATTTGCCCAGATCATGAAATAATCACACAGAAACTATATTATTTGCAATACTGTTTGGTCAATAGTTTAAGCATATTTATGGCTAGCTCATATCTTAAATTAATCCATTTCCATTAATCTGTATATCACCATGTGCCTGTGGCTTACCAGGTAATGTTCTGTCCAGTGTCTGTCTCTGGTGGGGCTACATGGCTCCTCTTGACTTTGGGTGACTGTTCAGGCAGTGAGATGTCTCTGTAAATTCTAGAGTTTGAAAATTACTTACAACTTCCTGTTTACTTAGGTAATATTATATCTTTATGGGGTCTTTGATGGAGTTGGAGAAAAGATAGTTATTATTATAGTTTTTCTTAGCTATGAAAAAGGATAAAGTAGATATAAATGTTGCAAGTATAATTCTTGTTTGATACCTGTCTTGTTATATATAATTTTACTATGTTA